CTGGTAGTTTCTGAATGTGGATTTTCAAAGGTAGCATCTTTATTTACAGAGGATGGTTGCTCCTAACATGGATTACAGAGGAGGGCTGAACTTCCTAACATGAATTTTCAAAGGTAGCAACTTTGTTTACAGAGGATAGTTGTCCAAAATGGACATAGTCTTCAAGACTGAAATTTCTGAGCTTAAACTTCTCACATCACCTTTTAGCTGTCTCATCAGAAACATCACTTCGTCCATATTTTATCAGCAGTCTGACTAGCATATTTTCCTTTTCTAAAATAAAAGCATACTATGATGAGAACAAACTTTTGGGTTCTTTATTCTTAGCACTGTACTGAAACATAAAGTATGCTACAACGCATGCTAAAATTATGCAATTAAGCAGAAAACATGATATTTAAGCTTCTGCTTTCATTAAGACCACTCCATATCAGCAGAAACAATATAATTGCGCGAAAAGATACTTCAATTTGCAGCAGATTTCTCTGGATGGCCCAATAGAATTACAATTAAAAATAAAGAATATCTTTTTTCTACACTGGTGAAATAAATTAAGAGAATTGGCATATTTGATCTATGATCTCCAGAACTACTGGACAGATTTTTTAAAAAAAATTGTGGTGTGAACATAGGTTGATATAATACAAACAAAATAAACATTCAACAGTTATAATAGACACACATGTTCGTATGTAACACTCGTGGGAGTGTGAAGGTCTTAAACAGTGGTTGCAGAAGCCACAAAAGAAATGGGTTAATAGGGGGTATGGTCCCCTCTTATAGCCCTACAGGCCTGGCAGCGTGATGTCATACTGGAAATAAGGCAGTTTAACAGTGTCTGTGGCAATTGATCCCACTCATTCAGCAACGCTGTTTTCAGTTCCTGGATGGTTCTCGGAGAGGGTTTCGGAGAGGGTTGTGAGTTGCAGTTGCCCTCCCGAGAACATCCCAAACATGCTCTATAGGGTTGAGGTCTGGACACCTGGCTGGCCAATCCATGCAGCAAATATCCTCACTCTCAAGAAATCCCAGAAGAGTCGACCTATGTGGCCTCGCATTATCATCCTATAAGGTAAACTCGGGGCCCACTACACCCCAGAAAAGCCAAATATAGGGCTCCAAAACCTCATTCCTATACCTCACACCAGTTACAGAACCTCTGTCAAAGATGTGGAAAGGTGTGGGGCCATCCAACATGATGCCTGGCCAGACCATTACACCGCCACTGCCATAATTGTTGATTTCGAGAAGAGTGGAGGGTAGGTAACGGGTTCCTGGCTCTCTCTATATGAAAGTACGGCAAGAATCGGTATTTAGGCTAAAATGGGACTCGTCGGTGAACAGAATGATCACCCATTGCTCCGTAGTCCAATCATTATACTGCCCGCACCATTCCAATCACTCTCTCCTGTCCATAGACGTGAGCAGGATGCAAACAGCTGGTCTTCTGGCAAACAAACCTCTCTCATTCATTCTTTTGGAAACAGTCACCCTTGTTACATGGGTTCCTGTGGCTGAATACAGGTCCTGAGAGAGCTGAGAAACTGTAGCCCATCTGTTACGCCTCGTCTAAAATAGACAAATAGCAATCTTCTCTGGCCGCCGTGGCACTTGGACGACCTTGCCCAGGCTTTCTCTCGATGAATCCGGTATCCTGGAACTGTTTCCGTAGGTAACACACGACGCTGAGCATTAAATTAAACTCTCTACATATCTGGTCTTGTGATTGGCCTGCCTCTAGCCTCCCCACAATTTGCCACCTCATTCCATCATCTAAATGTTGATGGTTACTCATTTTTACAGTTCCGATGTGAATTTAACCGATTACTGCAAGATAACACCAAGAAATTCGTCAAGGTATGCTAGCAAACCCAATTCATCTTACCTTCCACACGCTTATAAAGCCTGTTTTTCTGCTGGCTCCGCCTATACACACGTGTACGCTGGCGTATTTGCCATACAAGATTTCCATTTTTATCTATGCTTCATGACAAGCTAACCTGAGAACACATACAAGGCTAGAACGATCTTTTCTCAGATCTTTGCCAAATCCAGCGTACTTAAGAACAATCTTTTTATGCAATAAAGCTGCAATTGAAATTGATAGTTCATTATACTGTAAAATGTAGGGCATGTTATTCATTGTCTTAATTTATATGAAAATTTTCACTATTATCTAAATGTGACTTATACGAATTTGAAGACATTTAAAACTTGAAACGGAAGAGCTAACACTGTATTCCTTGCAGTTTGGGTCAAATTATTTTACAAAGACTGTTCGCTTAGTTAAAAGTAAAATATATAAATTTTGAAAATCTTTCAGTTAAGTTATTTTCTATTAATTTTTAAGAGTTTACGCAACTTGTTACTTCCAAAACAGTGAACGAGGGGAACATTTTCGATTTTTATTTTTTAAAGATGGTAATTTGATTTTATTTTCGCGATTGTTTAAAAAACTCTGGCTTTATTATATAGCATACATTATAAAAGTTATATCCTGTATTAATTGTCCCCTAAAATACATGTATTTCCAGTCAGGCCCAGATAATCATCCTCCTACAGTAAGTTTTATCCTATCTTTATGATTACACTTTAAAATAAATAAAAATACTGGAAACTGAGATCTTCAGATTCCAGTTTAACGATTAAAGATTTTACCATTAAAAATTTCAAGGCATTAGAAAAATATTAAAACTTTAAAATTGTGAAACAAACATAAAAATTAAGAAATAAATGATCTTATACCAAGTTTATACCAATCAATTAAAATATAACATTAGAAATGTCTTATTTTAATTAAAGTGCAAATGTTCATAAGAACTAAAAAAGTATTTAATAAATAAAATTTTTAAAAAGTGCATTTATTGCTTTTAAGACAATTACCATATTAATTAACGTCTGTTTACTTGTAATTAAGATAAATTAAAGTTTTTTTGCTTTGACGAATAAAACGTCTATGCACGACGGGGAATGAAAAGTGAGCCTTTTGCGTCGCAACAGGGGAATATATTTCTTTTACATCTCTGAATTTATAAAAAGCAGGCTGATTCATCTCTCTGAGAATACGCGAATCATACTTTGTTCGAGGTATAAAAATTACAAGCATATCTTGTGGAAAGTTCTAGCTATTCCTTTCCTTAGATGGAATCATCTGCAAATAAATCATATTAATGATAGAGTTGCTTAAATTGTGAAAGGCTGGTAGTATGCAGCAATTTCATTTGTAATGACTGTGAGCTCTGAACTGCATGGGAGTCCCTCAGTTGTATTATATAAAAGAAATCCTTTACCCTTATAAAGTCCACACAAAGTCATCTCTTCCATCAGACAGAAACTTTTTTTTCCTTCTACCATAGTTAACTTAATTAATCAGTATTTCCTCATTGGTTTGGTTAGGTGATTTGAATATAGCAAAGCACAGAAGAACTATCTGACTAAGGAGTGAGATGCATTTGTGGGGGGACTTTCTAAAGGAAAACAAGCTCGTATTCGCGTTACATATGGGAAAACCACCAAAACCGGCCATGAATACAGCCCATTCGCTTGGGTTCAAATAATCTCAAACTACCAATATTCAGCGATTTAACTACTCTACTCGTGGGACACTTTCATATTATATTTTCTAAGGGTTGATAGCTTGTATTTATAATGCTATTTATAACTGTTTAAAGTTTTACCTTTTTTTAAAAAAATTTGGCCTTGAAAATGGCTTTAGTATTTTTAATTTGTGGCTCTTAAAACACCCTTTTTATTAACTGAGGTATTCAGTCTCACTAAGATAACAAGTAGCAATATCATTATCGGATTTATTAGGAAAATGCTCCTGTAATTTGACAAAAACTATTCATTAAGATAATCTTAGCGGAATTGTGCATTGGTTTTCCAGCTTTATGAGGTTGAAAATTATACATATACATTGAAGATGAAGCAGATACCATTACAATCCCCCCCTCCCAGTCAGTGAGTGAATGCTTTAATTGCTTTTCTCGTCAAGAGTGGGGTGAGGTCGGGGTTGCTGGAATTTGCTGTTTCACCAATAATGCCAAAAAAGGCTATGTCTTCCTGCTGGCCATCGAATGATTAACATGATTTAACAAATTTTTAAACAAAATGCTGGATGCAACGTAATCTATCATTTGACACATTATTTTCCTTCTGTTCCCTTTGTTCAATAGTATTCATATTTCACAGCGTATGTTTTGCAATATTACTTCTTGAAATGGTAGAACTATATTCTACGGTGGATGCATACGCTTTCTAGTGTATCCAGTGTTCTTAAATTAGGTTAACCTGCAGTATAGAAGCAGTGGTTTTTCCTTTAGTTCAATTCTTTTCATGCAATTCGATAAAATATGAAAATTCTCTTCATTTATTTCACCAGTGTAGATGAGGGTGATAATGATTAGTATAAATACATGAATGAGTAAATCCACCAAACAACTAGTACAGTGGTTGAATGAAAAAAAAAACTTTATACCAACTGCATTTAGTTGCCAAGTCTAACTTTCAAAGCATATTGTGTTTAAATTTGAACTCCAGAAAAATTTAAATAATCACTGGTTTTTGATATGTTTGTTATTTGCATTAGTTTTTATGGTTTTTCATAAATATATAATTAAACCTCATAATGCTAATATTTTCATATACGTATTTATATTATGAATAGTATATTAAAAAAATACAGGATCATAAAAAAATGCAATATAAAAATTTAGTGTTGCAAAGCAAAGGGACTGCAAAATTTTTCAAGTATTATAGTATAGTATCACTTTTTTCTTAAGTCAAGTTTCATGTGTAATTTAATTTGTATGATTTTAAAAGGGAAAAAAATCAATTAAAACTCTAATTAAAAGCATTCATAAATTGCTTTAGAATTAGCATTATAAAATTATTCGTAAGTTCTAGTAGCTGATAGAACAGCAGTCTTGGAATGCTGATGGTTAGAATATTAATCTTATTTGTTTATGCTACATATTTATGAAATATTTTAATCTATTTAGTTATACATCTGGAAAACTTTAGAAGCAGATCCTTTGTTTCATCGTTCAACTACAGAACAGATGAATTGGCTAGAAGAACATCATCTTGCATTCAAGAGGTTTATACGTATGACAGAGTATAATTTTTTACCACCTGAACTTTTAGCTGAAAAAATGCATTTTTCATCTGCTTGTTCTAATGCTCTTGCAATGTATGATTTGGCTACCTACATAAAAAAATCTTTAGCTGTTGAGGTAAATAATTTTATAGTTATTCAGTTTTAATCATAGTCTTTAATTATAAGTATGAAATTCAAAGTTAAGATTCAAGTTGAGATCTTTGATTTGTAAGTGCTTATTTAAGACTTTCTATACACATACACTAACATTGCATAACAGTTAACTTTAAAATTTAATTTAAAATGAGCAGCCTACAGAAAAATGTACATAACAATTCAGTGAATTTTAACTTTGGTGTCTTTATTCACTAGTAACAATTAAATTGCTACCTTGTTATAATATAGAATACATATATTGTATCTGATGTCAAAAAAATTAAATTCTCTAAGTTATTAATTCATGATTAGAATCATGAACATGCATCATAAATTTTCAGTTCACCGAAGAATTTTTTTTTTTTTTTTTTCTTCTTGTCAAGGCCCTTAGTTGTTTTGGTGTGATTTCAAAACGAATGTTTCTCATCTTATATTGATGACTAAATCTTATACTGATGACTAAAAAGGTTTTATTTCATTACAGAGGAATCTTTTTCTTTTGTATCGAGTGATTGTAAGAGCTTAGGTTTTTCCATTCCCTGCCCCCCCACCAAAAAAAATAAGACTTTGGAATTTATTCCAAAACTGCTTGTATTTCATGAAAATATTTGAGTGCTGTTTTATATCCTACTAACAAAATCTACAGGTCTGTTCTTAAAAATTCTGTTCCAAATACTATAAAATAGTATAAACACCTGTTGTGTCTACAGTATTCGTTGACAGTGTGGTTTGATATGCATTGATCAAAGTTCTTTTTCAGCAGTTCTCTTTTTTGTTAAAGAATAAATCTCAATGATTATATCATTTGTACTACATTCTATTCCATTTTTTACTATTATTTGTTCCATTCCTTCAGACACAAACATATTGATATCTATTTTAATGTATATTAATATTTTGCTTATATTATTCTTTAAATGCTAAAATATATTTATGTTAGTGGTTTTTCATAATGATTTCTGTTCTGCAATATTATTATCCTGTATTGGATCTGTTCTTCAGGATGTTCATCATCAAAACTGGGACTGAGCTGTACAATTAATGTGATGTCATTATACCTGTACAATCTATAGTAAAATCAAAGCATCCTTTCCACCATCCTACTTGTGCAGACAGTTGTCAAATGAGGTTTCCCTGCATGAATGGATTACCAGTCCTCCAACAACTTTCTTTTTAACTTGTTATGATTATGTTTACAATCCTGCATTAGCATTTGATCCTGATTCACCTTATTTACCCCTCCTAGAGGGTAGTACAAACAATAGTGAATCTATATACTCTTATCATGATATAGATATATATACTGGAAACACTGTGTCTGTTGTTCAGTATAACAATATTTATTTTAAAGAGCTATGCAGAATCCTGTATGATATTTTGAATGTAAAATATTCTTAAATTTAGAAACTGAATTACCAAGAGAAGCAAAATCATTTTGTAATGCAATATTCCACCCAGCCAGTACAGTGGTTAGCAACTCTGACTGCTGTAGCGTAATGGTTCTGTGTTCAAATTCCGGAAAAGGCATGGTTGTAACTGTCCGTCCTTTTATAGGAGGCAATGGGGGGCATCTATTTGGTGCTTCCATAATGAAATGACCACCACTTCTGGCCCTTGCAGTGGCGTGAGGCTAATGACTATTGAATAAAGCATCAGGCCATTAAAAAAAAATTTGGTATTTTTATCTGGAGTCCAGAAAAGTGCATATTTGAATACTGTCAACTATAATTTCAGGAAGTAGCATAGTACTTTGTTGTTACCTTTTATACAAATAAGATGAAATTATGAGTAAAATGAAAATGTCTTCAACCCTGCAAAAAGCTTAGAGACTTAGTAAGCAAATTCACTTATTTTCCCCTCTTTTTTTTGTTATAAAGAAGCCCACTTAGAAAACTTTGGTTATTTTCCAATGAGGGGTTCCTCCAAAGACTTTTATTTTTGAGTGCTTTATAATGTTTTTATTTTTTTTGTTTAAAAATAATTTAGTTTAATTTTTATAAGTGGAGCATTTCTTTTGAATGGATATGTAGCATATTGATGAATTTAATAAATGTGTCTTTCTTATTTTTCTCAGTACCCTTCATTTGTAATCAGAAGCAACGGTACTAGCCGGCATATGAAGCTTATGGAACCATTTACTAAAATGGAGGTATATCTATGTGATGTTCTGTCCTTTATAAATATTATATGATATGTTTAGTTATCCATTATAAACTTATTTTTATAATATTTTATATTAAAGCATAATTTTGTTCCTCCAAAAGCATTTAGAAAGACAAAATTAGCACCAGAGGTACAGTTAGTCTTGCTTCTTTTTTTTTTTTTTTTTTTTTTTTTTTTGGGTCCATCTCACTTTTCAAATGAAAGAATATTACCACTAAATGTTATTTATTATTCTTAAATAAATTATGTAGTGAATATAAAAAAAAATGTATGGCAACACTTAGCATTGTATTGGGATTTCTAAAGATATGCTGTTTTAAAAATTTTCTGTTTTTGCTGTTAAATTTTATGTGTGTAAATTGAAAGAAATGATGTTTCATAAGTAAAGTTAAACAATAAAAAGTTAATAAAAGTTATATGAGTCATCTTACTAAGGAAACTGAACACTGATATGAGGAACTGAGAAAAGATTGAAAAAAATAATGGCAACTCTTACCGCCATATCGAGAATTCTAATCATATACTGCTGTTAAAATTGTTTGATTATTCTGTTGAATATTGTGTATTGTTAAATGCGAAGGAAATGATATTTAATAATAAAATTTAAAAGACAGAAAAATGTATAAGTCATCTTGTTAAGAAAAACTGAACATTGATATGATTAACTGAGGAAAGACTGAAAAGAAGAAACAAATGTATGACAGCACTGAACACTGCATTGTGAATTCTAAAAATATGTTGCTTTTAAAATTTTTGTGATTTTACTGTTGAATTTTATGTGGTGTATGTAATGTTTAATAATAAAGTTAAAAAGACAAAAAACAAATGTATAAGCAGGAGTGACAATAGCAGATAAGTAACCTACACCTTTTTTTGGTGTAGATTTTGAATGTTACAGAAGGCAAAATTTTCCAATTGATAAAATTTGTGAAGATATGTGAAGACATAATAAAAAAAATGAAAAGGATGTAACAGAAGTTTTCCATAGCAGTGACAATACCTCAATCAATAGTCAACTTTGAGGTAGTGAAATCTGTAACATGGTTTTAAATCCAGATAATATAGCTACTGATTATGATAACTGTGATAGTGAGATTTTCAAGAATGGAAAGATTTGAACTGCCAGATTTTAGTGGGAATTTTGGACATGGCAATTACAGAGCTTGAACAGTAGCATAACAACAAGAAATAATCTCTATCTGTAAAATAAAAGAAAACATATCACACAAAAATGTAAAAAGTAAACAACTTAAATTGAAAGATATTATTAATGAAACAAACAAATACTGATTTTTTTGGGGGGGGTTAATTTTGATTTCTCTGAGGTCATAGATACTTCATTATTTCATAAACAACTATTTCATGTTTTTAATTTTATAAATTCAGCTCTCATCATATTAGATTTAATCTGATGACCTAACATTTAGAAATTTCCAAAATAACGAATCACCTAAGTTCCAATAATTTTCGGATCTCGGACTTTGTACCGTATCAGTATAATTTGATTAAATTTAAATGCTTTATTTCCTTCAACTAGCCATATACGATAGCTGTGCTTTAAGAATAAATCATAATTAATTTAAATTTGAGGAATAGTAATGTGTGCTCATATATTTTAATACTTGCTTTTTATGTATTGCATGAACTTGCTTACAAATAGATGAAAATTGTACAATTGCTTTTAGTTAAATCTATTAGTTTATGGGAATGAAATTACATTAGTTCCAGTGCTCATTAATAGCTAATGCATAAATTGCATTAGTTCCAGTGCATGTAAAAATTAATTAGTGTGTTATTATCAAGTAAAACTATTTATTTTCATTAATTATTACATGTTTGTGAAATCCTGGCCTATTTCATGGAATGGTAGATTTTTTTACATAAAAAGTAACATTTCTCTCTCTTTTTTTTTTTTTTTTTTTTTTTTTTCCTCCTTCATGTAGATAACAGGCTGCTTTGCATTAACTGAGATAAGTCATGGAACAAATACAAGAGGAATGAGAACAAGGGCAACATATGATCCTAAGACACAAGTAATAAAGCATTTTTAAAGTATTAACTCAATTATATCTCATATTATTTTATATTTCGTTTTTCAGCTCTCTTCATTAATTAGGCAGTGTATAAATGGCTTAATTAAAAGCTTAATTCCTTTTATGGTGTATTTAATACTAATACCTAATCTTTACCTAATCATACTGTAATAACAACTCCTTAAAATGATAATTAATGGAGTACTAGAACTCGCTGATTACTCGCAGATCTCAATTTGCTTTTTTTTGCAAAATTTCTGATATTTATTTTCTTTATTCAGTTTAAGAAATATTTTGAAGATTCTCTATTTAGTAGGAAATTTGTGTAGTTAGTGTATGAAATCTAGAAGGTTGTTTCTGTATTTTGTCCTCAGTAAGAAATTTTTCAGTTTCATTTTTGGGGGTATTTAAGAAATCATGTGTTTATGTTAAGTCATGTACATTAATCATTAAATGCATGTTAGGGGACTCATGATAGTTCCTTATTGTAACATCAGTAAAATTTACAAAGCCTACATAACAAGTGAACAGGGCATGTGCCTTGGTCCTCCATTTTCAGGGGTGCCCTTGTGTAATATATAAAGTGCGTAAGATTTTAAGAATCTTTTAATTGTATCTTTTAAACATAAATCTGAAGCAAGAACAGAAGTTAAAACTTTGTATTTTAGTGTTTTTTAAGCATTGAACCACTGTCTTGCATTGTCATTGGGAACTGGTATCATTTAGCAAAGCCTCAATTTATAAACTAATGGCAGCTTGAATTAATATACAATGTAATTATGTTTTTGATCTTATCTTTATAAATTAAAATTTTTGTAAAATTAATAAGAATTACCTGGTTTCTTATTTTAATCTTAGTTTTTCTCCGACTAAAATAACAAGATCCTGTTTTAAAAACATATAAGCTTATATTTTAAACACATCATTAAAAATAAATAAATAAATAAATAAAAATGCATAGAATACTTTTATACAGTCACTGGTGACTATAATTATATTTAGTAAAGTTTATACTTATTCTAAAAAATAAAACACAAAAAGTTTGGCTCCCATTCTTCAAAAATTGTCTCGAGATATTTGATCCTGTTTCTTAAAAGTTCAGGTTATGTGCACAAATAGAAGAGTTAAGTAAAATTTGTATGTAACTGAAAAGGAAATATCAATTTAGAAAAAGGTCTTGAGTGACAAGCATTGATACACAGAACTATTGTGAACTATATCTATAGGATTTGGGATCTTATCATAGCCATCTTATGCAATTCATGTTCTAGAGCAAGGATGTCAAACTCGCGGGCTGCATGCGGCCCACAACAAATATTTTTGCGGCCCGGGCCAATATATCGGCAAATAATAATATATAATAATAAAATAACATATCGACAAAGAAAAAAAATGAAATGTTTACTGCTAAGTAATTAATGATAATTTAATCAGTGTTGTTAGATTACTTACAGCTAGCTGGCACACACACTACTTCATTGTCTCGAAATACAGTTGCGGAAAGAGTTACTGATTTAGCCGCGAATTTAAGTGATCAATTCAAAGCAAAATCATCTAGTTTCGAAAGTTTCTCCATTGCCTGTGATGAGAGCATGGACATTAGTGGCAAAGCTCAATTAGCAGTGTTTCTTCATTCTTGTGACAAGAATTTTAACATTTTTGAGGAATTACTGAAACTAATACCGATGCCTGGTACTACCACAGGAGAAGATATATTTACTTGTGATTTTGGACTTCTGCAGAAATACAATCTACCTTTGGCAAAATTAAATTCTGTAGCTACAGATGGCGCTCCATCAACGACCAGGAAAAACAAGGGCTTCGTAGCATTACTAAGAAAAAAACTTAGTGAAATTCACGGTTCAAACATTCATCATATGCATTGTATTATACATCAAGAAGTTCTATGCACGAAAGTAATAAATATGGAGAATGTTTTGTCATATATTAAAAAAAGTTATAAATTTTATAAGATCTCGAGGTTTAAATCAGCGTCAATTCACTGCTTTCTTAAGTGAGTTAGATAGTGAATATTTGGGTTTGTGCTACTATACCGAGGTACGTTGGTTATCTTGCTCCAAGATTCTCAAACAATTCTGGGATTTGAAAGAAGAAATATGTCAGTTTTTAAAAACGAAAAATCAAGACGTAAGTTTGTTTTACGATCCAATAATTTTCTTTGTTCTTTTCTATATAAATATATATATATATGTTTATTATTGTATTATTCGAAATAAATCTACGTTTCTATGAATATTGATTTTTTTTTTGCGGCCCGCCTAAAGTTAAACCTTGTTTGTTTGGCCCAAGTGTACCTATGAGTTTGACATCCCTGTTCTAGAGAATAGTGGTAGGTTTCAAGTATTGGCACATGGCCTATTTGTAACATTATTTGCATAAATTAAACATGAAAAATATTTCTAATCCAATGAAATCGTGGAATACCACTTGGTGACATTAATTTGGGAAAAAAAAGGGGGGGAACTTGAATTATCTTATAGTATTATTTTTTAACCAATCTCTCAAAAAAAAAAAAAGTGTAGAAAAAGACTAGTGCTTGACATTGAAAAAACTTTAAAAAAATCACAAACTTTGAAATTGATCTTGGTTAATTATTTTTCATGAGGGAGTCAAACTTCTCATATTTTAGTTTTTAGAATGGTTATGAACTTTTACTAAATACTTAGAGCATCAGTTCTCAGCCAAGGAGGAATTTCATAGTTTCAGGGGGGAGATGCAGTTAGCCTTTTATTTAGCTGTTAGGTATTTAGTTTTAGCTTATGAATACAGAAATATAGTTTATCTGAGTTTTGGTATTTATCAACATTTTCTTACTTTTGGTTTTTCAGTTTATAAAAGCACACTAAAAATAATCTAAATCTAAAATAAATGACCAACAGCTGTAAAAATAAAGGCCACATAAGAACTTTTATTAGCTTGCTGTATATTCCATAATAAATGAGCCAATACATGAGTGACTCACTGGCCAGCTTCATGAAACCCTGTTATTCATTCTGGGTTCTGTTCTTGATGGTTGAACTGTGTGTCTACATGAGATTTTTCTCATGTGTAAATGAATACAGTCTAATTTCTCATTGGAAGTCCACCACAGACAAATAACTTTAGTAGGCTTTATTTTAAGAAGTATCTAATCCAATTTTATTAGGCTTTATTTTAAGAAGTATCTAATCCAATTTTATTAGGCTTTATTTTAAGAAGTATCTAATCCAATCCATGATAAAGAAATAAACTGTTCTTATTTTCTTACAAATTAAAAAGCATTTATATGCAGTGCTTAAATTGCGCCGGTACTTCTCAGTTTTTAAAATAAATTACAATTTTAGCCGGAGCACACCGGAGCCCTAAATAAGATGAGCTCCGGTTCTTCATTTTATAAAATTGAACCACAATTTAAAGAGAAAAAAATTTAGAATTCCTAACATTTTAGTTTAACAATAAGCAGACCTTGCAATAGTCTATTTCCCTAGAAATACGAACTCATGAGAACATGAGACGTTCAAGTAAAGTCCCCTCACTCACGTGCGGAAACCTTTCCCTTTAAAAGGAGGGCAATAAATTTGGGGGAGTTTGTTCAGGAACGCGTAAATTTCTTGCCATGCCATCATATCTCGTGTATTTTTGCAATAAATCATAATTCTAGCCGGAACGCACCGGAGCCCTGAATAAGAAGGCTTGCGGCACTTCTTTTATGCAATTGAATAACAGTTTCAGTAGAAATTTTATCTCGAAAATTTTATTTTAACAATAAAATTATATCAAAAATCACTTATTAAAGTTCAATTTATCTCTTTACATTTTATTTAATTACTTTGATCTTTAATTATTTCAACAAATAATAATTAATCATCTAATAATTATCAATTGAACTATAATTAATTATATATTAATTATGGATTAAATAATTTATAAGCATTAATTAAATAGCTATTAATTAATTGGATAACAATTAACTATTAAATTTTAAAATTATTAATGAGTTTAATAGTCATTTTATTTATTTATTTACTCTTGTTCCTCTTTGCTGATGGTCTTCCATAGGGCTCTGGCACTTCTAATCTTAGAAATTAAGCCCTGTTTATATGTGTGTGAAATGTTATGGAGATAAAGAGACGAAATGTATGAAAAAAATCTCAGTCCTGCCTCAGTTTCAAATTGAAGGACTACAGAACATTAGTCATGATTTGGATGAGTAAATTACATTTTTAGCTGTTATCATAACAGTGGCATATTTTACTTTTGTTATCAGAAATAATCTTTTAAAATTAGAAGCCTTATAGTTTATGGATTCATTGTGATGAATGATTCCATAAACTATAAGGTTTCAGTTTGTTACTCAATACTAATTATACTCTCTTCAGTGTAATTCCCTCTGACTCCAGTGAACGTGTACCAATGTTTTTTCCCAATCCTGAAAACATATTTTAAAATCATTTCTTACAACCCCTGCAAGATTTATGGTGAATTTTCTGTTATTGCATCTGTAGATTCAAGTCGGTGATCATAAAGTTGCAGTTTTAAATGCAGAAATAAGAAAGGTACACGGCCACTTGCAAAGCCATATTAATTTAATTTTGGGCCAAAATTTAATGAACAAAAGCACTGTGATCAAATATTATTGTAGCATCTATATTCTCAATTCAGGTCATTTTATACAAATTACTTCACATAAATGCTGCTAAACACCTAAACAATGTTCTTTGTTAACAGTTTAGCTACTTGATAGATATTCATGGTGTATGCCTTGACAGTTGAAGGAAACATTCAGTGTTACCTTGACTTTTGACTTAGACTGACATAGTCTTTCAATCTTGCTTCATCTTTTGGATGCTATTGTTTTTCTGTATAAAAAGTGTAGACTGATTTTTCATGACCAATAATAATTCATTTTAAAAGGATTTCTTAAAAAAGCATTTCCTCAGCCCCCCTTTTTTTTAAAGCTCAAGAAGCAATGTGCCGTCTGCAGAAATGATCTTTCAGAATTAAGTACCAGTATTCAAACAATATGGGAACTTATTCAGTAAGATCCCTAAATGTTAAATGACAGCCTGAGACATAATCAGCATGTTGTTCATTGACTGGAAATGAATTATCTAGTTAATGTGTTTCATTCTTTGATGCGTGGCCCACCAGCGGCCGAGCGGTAAAGGCGCTGAACACTGGTAGTTCGGTCTGAGGTTCGAATCCCGCGAACGGGCTGGCTGCATGGGCGTTTTCGTGGTTTTCCCCATGTGTAACGTGTATACGAGCCAGTTTCCGTTAGAAAGTCCTCCACGAAAGGCATCCCTCCCTTTAGGCAGATAGCCCTCGTGTGCTTTGCCATAATTAAATACACCAACACCATTCTTTGATGCGTGTTTTGCATTGCTTAAACATCTCATACCATTCCGAATTTTTTTTTAAATTCTTGATTTTGATATTGTCTTCAAAGCCTTCTTACAGTAGTTTAAATGTTTCAGTTTCTTTAACAGAAATAGCATTGTGGGGAGGAATTGAATTCATATTCTTTGCTCAGTTACATTCAGCATTTTGGGAAATCAGTAAAACAAAAATTCTTTATTCATTAGAAAAAAAAATTTGAGCCCACCAGCGGCCGAGTGGTAAATTCGCTGAATACTGGTAGTTCGATCTGAGGGTCAAATCCCGCAAATGGGCTGGCTGCATGGCGTTTTCATGGTTTTTCAAATGTGTAACGTGTATATGAGCCAGTTTCCCTTAGAAAGTCCTCCACGAAGGCATCACTCCCCTTAGGCAGATAGCCCTCGAGGGTTTGCCATAATCATGCACACACACATTAAAAAAAAATTTGCAAACAAAAAGAACTTAAATATTGTATGTTGATAAAGTTGTAAAAATTTCTGAAAATTTTTGCAAGTGATTTCTTGCGTATGCATATTTCAAATAAATAATTGTAATACTTTTTATCACTGTAGTATACACTGACGAATGAAAACATTATGACCATCCCCACATTATTTCAATGAACTCATCTGGATGATGTGGAGGGCACGTGATTAAGTGGGAATGGTATATTACTTCTGCTGGAGAGGGTAAGGAATCATTCTTGCGCTTACTTTTGTGAAGGTGGAAAAGGCTGCTGATCTAAGTGAATTTGATAGAAGGCAAATTGTAATTGCCAAAGATTCAGAATGACTGGTAAGTCGTTTATGATCTGGTGTTGTTAGTATTTATGCAAAGTGGATAACTGACGAATGCAGTAGATCCCAAGGTGTCCACGCTCAAACTATAAGTGCCCCTACCCCCGTCTCACACCTCAAGAAAACTCTGCGTAACATCTGTAAAGAAAAGTGGCAAGAAGAATGGAATAGTGGCGACACAGGGAGAAGGACGTATAACTTCCTACCAAAGGTAGACACGGAACGTCTTATAACAATAGCCCCACTGACACAGTACATAACGGGTCATGGCCCATTTCCATCTTATTTTATGCGTCATGGCATCTCAGCATCTGACAATTGTGTCTGTGGCATGCTAGGTTCTCCCGAGCACTATCTATTTGACTACAGTCTAACAACAAACCACCACTTACCACATCCAACGAATGATTAGAACACTTTACTATCGTTTCATAATCAAACACCCCGCCAGCTATAAGGAGCATCTGCGCAGTTTGTACAGCAAATCAATGCCCTAGGGCAAGACATTTGCGAGCCACAGTAGCATGGTACTGCAGACAATGTACTCAACTATTAGATATTCGCAGTATGTACACATTCTGTAATACACATTCCACATTCAATTTCGAGCCTCGTGTTAACATCTGCTTTCAATAGCCACCAACTTGCAGATATAATGTTACTGACATGTTTATCAGTGTAAAGCACTGGGCACCCAATGGAATGATGTGTTATCGTAAATCGAAATATATAATATCCGTACAATGCACAAATGTAGTGTATGCAACGAAATATGTAATTCATGCAACAGAAGCCCCTAATGAAATAAAGTATGTAAATTATGTATTATGGGAACTGAGCATATTTCCGCACAGCACTACTGCTTACGCACCCTTACTTACTATGTCTTATATTTTTCCTCTGAGTGTAATATTTGCATTTATGTGCTCTACGTGTTTCCATATGTATGATATGTATGTATTTTCGTGTGTGTTTCTTGTCTTTATGTTACGTAATTACACAAGTGTGTTTTTATGCTTTACGTTTAATTTTGTATATATGTGTGTTCAGCTTATATGAGTGTATTAGTGTTTAATGTTATGTTTATATTCTTTCTAAGTTACTTGTGTGTTTAAACAACGTCCTATGTAAAAAACTACCCGACATCTAGCCCCTGTATGGCCATGTAAACTCCTGGTGCAGCCTCACGGGGCTCCAGCGAGTTGCTTCTTCGAGATAGTGGAGGACGTGGGACATATGCCTGTTTACCTATGTTATACGTCAGACGTCCCCGTCCTCCGTCACCTGTCACCTGCCTCTGTTGACCAAACATCATTGTCAACTAAACTTACAGACTGAACCATGGATAAGTGCAAAACAGTTGCCTGGTCTGAGGAATCATGATTACTCATTCATAACATTGATGCTCATATTGAAACCATCTTCATGCAAACAAGTCTCCCTCGTCTGTACAGCAGATCGTATACAGGCTGTTTGTGATGGTACAGTACAAAGTCTGTAATTCGGACATCCATTATCCGGAATGATCTATAATCCGGACCTCAAAGCCACTAACTTTTTTTTGGTATGCTTTACGCATGCGCCTTTAGTACAAAAAAGGAAGCAACTTAAACAACTTACATTGAAAGAAATGTTTAATAAATAAATATTAAAGTAAGAATAAATAAATATTAAGTAAACAAATAAATATTAATCTTTTCTTTTTATATTTTGATACCCTTTAGATCATAATTGCTTTTTATTTCATAAATTATGGTTTCATATTTTTAATTGTATAATTTCTGCATGCCATCTTACCAGATTTAAACTGATGATCTATAATCCGGAAAAAACCCTAATCCGAAATCGCTGAACTCCCGATGAGTCCGGATTGTGGACTTTGCACTGTATTATGCTTTTGGGGACATTCTCATGGGCAGCTCCTGGAACCTTTGCTGTGGTAGAAGAGACTGTGAAAGCTGCTGACTATTTGAACATAATTGTGGATAAGTTGCACCCTTACATGGCATCTGTCTTTCCAACTGGAAATGGAATCTTCCAGCCAGACAATGCCTCGTGTCACAAAGTTCAAATTGTATTGGAGTGATTTGATGAGCTTAAAAATGAATTCCAATTAATTTCCTGGCCACCTAACTCACCGAATCTTAACCTGATGGTTTACATTTGGGATGTCATGGAGCGGCAGCGCAGAGCTCAAACACCACCATGTAGGAATATCTCGACTTGACATGACCGCTGCTTCTACCAAGAACTTGTAGCATCCATTCTAAGGTGAAGTTGCAGCTGTTTTGCGGACCAAAGGTTGCGCATTGCATTACTCAGTACATGGTCATAATGTTTCGGTTCTTCAGTGTATGTTATCCCGTGTTGTTGAAAATTTTGATGATACAGTCAAAAGTCTTTAATCCGGACTCGTCGGGACTTCGGCGATACCGGAAAACTATTTTGATGTGTATTCGTGATATTTATAATGACGAGGAATTTGATTTAAATCATATCAAAGACGGAGTACATCGAGGTGAAATACTACATTTAGTAAGGAATTATAAGCTGAATAAAATTAAAAACATCTGCCCTGAAGTTGTGCTGACAGATCAACTTCCAGTTCATTGCGCACTGCGATGCTCCCCCCCCCCCCCCCCCGTAGAACAGCGTGAAATTGATAAACAGATTTCGGAATGGTTAGAGAAACAAAGGATATGCCTTTATCCATTTTTTGCAGCAATTCCACTTTTTGTTTGATGGACAGTGAAACATGCTTTCGCTTTGTAGATCCTTTGGCAACTCCAGAATCGGAAATTCTTTTTGACATAATTGAAAGTTCAAGCTTACTTTTATAAAATTGCTCTAACAGTCTGCAAAAAATAATAAGCCAGATCCAATTTGAAGATTAAGGAACAATGCAATCTGCAACATTAACTGAAATAGATAATTTTAGCTTAGCTTATACCATCCGTTATACATTAAATTTGCATGCGTAAACGCATATGTGCATGCATAAACATATTATGCACATGTGTAATATGCATATGCACATCCATAAACGCATTATGCGTTTACGCATGCGCAGAAAGTTTATAGCTTTGAGGTCCGGATTATAGATCATTCCGGATTATGGATGTCCGGATTAAAGACTTTTGACTGTACTTTAGTAAGGCTGGAACATTTTAAATGGTGTTCTGAATATTAATTAGATCTCATTGCACAGTTTATGTTAATTAAATTCTAAATCAAATTATTATATTTTATAGATTTATCCATTATCTGGTTAATTATTTTAAATAAAATTTATGTACTTATTATTTTATGTGTAGGAATTTGTATTTCATTCTCCTGATTTTCAAGCTGCTAAAGTATGGTCTGGAAATTTGGGCCAATTAGCTACACATGCTGTCGTGTGGGCTCAACTGTACACACCTGATGAAAAATGTCATGGCTTACATGGTTTTGTTGTGCCCGTAAGAGATCCTAAAACTCGACTTCCTTACCCAGGTATTACAGTTGGTGATCTTGGGCCAAAGCTGGGCTTGAATGGAATTGATAATGGGTAAGTCATACTGTTTGAATACTTTTATCCCATTTTTCCATGATTTTATAGTTTCAAAGTAAAAATTATTCTTTACTTGATATGTTTATGTATTGTAACATTTAAAAGGCATGCGTATATTGAAAATAATTGAAAATAATAATGAAGATTTTTTTTATACATAAAAGTTTAAATTGCTTTCACATTTTTTTACGAGGGTTGGTACTTTAATAGTGGCAACTATTTATTTACAAGGAATACAAAAGTGATTCATGTCACCATGTTTTACAGTCCTTCAATATAGTCACCAGCATTGTGTACAACCCGTTTCCAATGATGTGGAAGTCGCAGAATACCTGTAGCAGCGCCTGTTTTGTTGATAGTTTGAATGTACCGGTCTACTGCCGCAAGAATCTCAGGAACTGTTTGGAAGCGAGTGCCACGAAGTGGTTCCTTCATCTTAGGAATTAAGTCATAGTCACAAGGGTTTAGATCTGGGGAGTATGGTGGATGGTAAAGCACTTCCCAGCCCCATCGCTTGAACAAATCAGTCACAGCTTGCGCTGCATGCAGCAGAGCATTGTCATGCAAAATGAGAGGAGCGTTCTGAAGAAAATGTCGCCGTTTTTTTCTCAAAGCTGGTCGGAGATTGTGCTCCAAAAATGAGCAGTAATACTATGCAGTGACGGTCTTTAGTGGGGGAACAGTATGCGTTAGGATGACACCATCACAGTCGTACACGAGAATCACCATAACTTTCACATTGCTTGGGTTCTGACGAAATTTCGAACGTCGTGGTGACCCGTGATGACGCCATTCGTTTGATTGGCATTTCAGTTCTGGCTATTACGATCGGGCTTAAGTCTCATCCAGCGTAATGATAACGCCTAGAAAAGCATCTCCTTCGCGCTCATAGTGCTCCAGGTGGGTTCGGGCAGCATCGTATCGTAGCCATTTCTGCATTTCCGTCAATTGATGTGGAACCCATTGTGAAGCAGTTTTTCTCATGGACAGGCGTTCCTTCAGAATGTGCAGCACACTCGTATGCGCTAATCCTGTTTGTCCGGCCAGCTGACGAATCGTTTGGCGGCAATCACTGTCCATTAGTGCGGCAACAGCTTGCACGTCTGCATCGCTGACACTCGAACGACCTGGCCGCAGCATATCTGCCACGTTTTGGCGTCCTTCATTGAATGCTTTCACCCATCTTGCTATGGTTCTGTAAGGCAGTGCAGATTCCCCACAAGCCTCTTGAAGCCCTTGATGACGCAGTTGTGCTGTACGACCTCTGGCACATTCAGTTTTTATCCAACATCATTGTTCTTGTTTTGAAAACATCCTGACAACACTTACCTTAGACCGCGAGCTAATACAAGGATCCGTTCTTCATTTCACTCCGCATGCGCGTGACGTAGGCAGGATGGGTCTTTTTGCTGAGAGGTAAGGTAGATATGTATTTCACATGTGGTATACGTGGTATTCTTTGGTTTTGTTGTGTAGCATTTTTTCAGCTGTGTTGCCACTATTAAAGTTCCAACCCTCGTATAAAATTTAAGGAGACATGAGTAATTTTTACAATTAAATAGGCTTATTTTCTAGATTATTCTTAAAAAATGTAGGTAATTTGTTAATACTAACTTTTTTTAATTAATCATAATGTGGGTGTTTCTCCTCCCTTTGTTTTCTTTTTTAACTGCTGCCATATTAACCATAATTTGGGGTTAGTGATAGACATCATTTCTGGTATTTCCTCAGTTAATTAGTATCTGCTGTACTAAAGTGGAATGATGATAAAAGGTCAGTATTTTGCAAAATATAACTAACAAAATCTAAAATTTTCTACTAGCAGAATAACTGAAAAAGAAAATATTGGTAGTATTTATTCCCAGTCAAACACAGGCAATCAATGTATTTGTTTTTAAATCTTGGTGATTTTTTCTAGAATAATGAAAAAAAATATATGTATGAAGTTGTAATTAAAAGCTGTCCTGCGAGAGTTATGTTATAGTGAATGAGTATTCAGTTGATTTTCTAATCCATGCATTATTTGAGAAATTTATTATATGGATTGAATTATTTCAGTTATATTCTTAAGGTATTTGGTATCTTAAATTACAAAATCTGTATTTTTCTTGGAGAAAAATTACTTTTCAATTCATTTTGAAAATCAATTTCTTTCACACATGGCGGAAGCTAAGTCTTGAGATAATCAAGATATTATGATAAAGCAATAAATAAAAAATGAGTTAATGTCGCATTAAATTATATGTACTAAAGAATATGAAAAAAATGTGTGTTCTGAGGAGCATGTCATACTATGTATACATGTATGGCATACTCATTCCTTTCACGATTCTTAGAAATGCTAAAATAATAAAATTTAATTCAAATTTACAAATTATTGCACTAGCAAAGTTGTAAATTTATAGATTTTATTAAAACATGCTTCCATTAATACACATCAGAATTTTAAAGTAGATTTTTGTTTTATGTCTTTATATTGCAATGCAAAGGAATGTTTACATATAATTATTTTTTTACTAACTCTAAGTAAATGTTCTTTCATAGTTTCATAATGTTTAACAACTACAGAGTGTCACGAGAGTGTCTGCTCAATAAGCATGGCGATGTAACTCCTGATGGAAGATATGTTTCTCCAAAGGTTAGAAATATTTTATTAAAATGTTATGCACTCTACTGTTTCTTTAAAAAAGAATTTGATTAATCAAAAGTTTACTTTTGTATTGGTTTGGTTTATTTTGATTATGGCAAAGCACTCGAGGGTTATCTGCGTAATGGGAGGGATGCCTTTGTGGAGGACTTGCTAAGGAAAACTGGCTCATATACGTATTACACATGAGAAAAGCATGAAAATGCCCATGCAGCCAGCCTATTCACCGGGATTCGAACCCCGGAATGAACTACCAGTGTTCAGCGACTTTTACTGTTCCAACACTGGTGTGCTACTTTTATACTGAATTACTGTATATAAGCAAAGTCTTACATCAATTCTGTTTTATTATATTTGTGAATATTTTTGTTGTACAGTACAAAGTCATTAATCCGGACTTGTCGGGACTTCGGCGATTCCAAATTAGGGGGTTTTCCGGATTATATATCATCAATTTAAATCTGGTAAGATGGCATGCAGAAATTATACAATTAAAAATATGAAACCATAATTTATGAAATAAAGAGCAATTATGATCTAAAGGGTATCAAAATTTACAAAAAAAAAAAAAAAATGCTTAATATTTAGTTTACTTTATTAAACATTTCTTTCAATGTAAGTTGTTTAAGTTGCTTCTTTTTTTGCACTAATAATACTTTCTCTTTAATTCTATAAACAGACATAATTTCTTGTTCAGTTACAAAGTTCTATCAGGTTCAATGTTTTTTCTAACCTTTTTCGGGAACATACAAGGACCTGACTAGGAACAGAGAGCTTACTAAAGCTATGTTCACTAATTGTAGTAAGTAGACAGGATACAGACGAAGGGTATGCAAAACCCTTTATTTTTCTTTATATACAATGACTTCCGTACTTCGGAATAATACAATGACCCTCCACTCGGGGTCTAACGTAAAAGATATCAAATAAAACTAAACTCTAATTTAACGTTTAGAATAATACACGTGGGAAGATTGGCCTTATAATAACAGGAAGCGTATGTAGCACAGAGACTGTGAACACTACAATACGTTTAATTTATCAAGAGGATTAAAACCTCTGGCCTGGAAGGCAAATAGCAACTGCGTAACTTCTAAGGTAAGCGGCCTGCTTCGAACTTACTGCTTCCTCCCTTTCGCTTGGCAAAAAGGCCACACTTAAATACTTGGCGTTCGCCAGACAAACTTTGCATAAAATCCTTAACGCTTATAATTCTGGCCGGAAGTAGAAAATAAGAAGTGATAATAAAGATTTAAAATAAAATAAACGTTAGTAAAACTTAAGATCCTTACAGTTCCACCTATTGGAAGCGGAATTTTCTGGATCTAGAACTATACTACAGATTTCGCCGTCCATTAACTGATTGATGATTGAGGCATTGTCGTCGCAATGAAAAACTTCTGTTATATCATCTTCATTTATTACCTCTTCTCCACATTTCTTTACAAAATTCAATAACTGGAAAATCTCACCTTTAGTTTGCGATGTCCGAAAACCTTCAAATTCGCAGTTATCATCTTCATCGTTCTCACCATGAAATATGATAGCTGGCCATAAATTATGCCAAGCATTTTTTTAACATATCTGGAGACATCCTCTCAATGTGCATGCGCATGCTTAAACGTGCATGCGCATGCTTAAACACGCATGCATAAAGCATACCAAAAAAAGTTTGTGGCTTTGAGGTCCGGATTATAGATCATTCCGGATAATGGACGTCCAGATTATGGACTCTGTACTATAATATGTATTATAGCAAGAAGGCATGGTGTATTTTCAGTTAAATGAAAGTTACAGTTAAAAAATTATTAACTCAGTTTCTAAAATTCCTCAGCAATATTTAGCATCCAGAAAATAAGCAGAACTGTATTTTACATCTACACGTGGCTTTCTAAAATTGAAATTTAGACAGACATGATACTACTTTTGATTCATTTTAAGATGAAGTGAGCTGAAAAATTAATTAATAAATTTAGCTTATAATTTTCTGAAATAAAAGATTTGCCCCTCTTAAATTATAAAATACCTTTCTCTGATATATAAAAGTGTGAAAAATATCAGATAAGTGTATTTAATAAATATCCAAAATTACACTGGGTTTAATTTAGAAGGAGTTTTAAATACGTGAATGCAAGTAATATATGCTAATTAAGTATTGAATTATACTATTTTAATCTGCATTTTTGTAAAGAAATGGGGTTATTAGTTGAACTTTAAATCTTTTAAAATCACTTTTATTTATTTATTTATTTATTTATTTTTTTTTTTTTTTTTTTTTTTTAATCAGATAATTTTAGTTTGAATGTTTCTTATGTATGAGTTATTTAAACCTCTGCTTGCTTTACATGTTATGTGTAAATAAATTTTAATATATGTAAGAAAACTGAGATTGTCCAACATAGTTTAAAATTAATTTTATGTAAGCATCTTTTCTTTTTGAGTGTTTTATTAATAAAGGAAACAATTAGATAAGTTTTCTTTATTTTTTTATGTTTCAGAATGTAAATGAAAGGTTTGGTGAATCAATGGGTGCTTTATCTATGGGTCGTACTGGAATAATTATGCTATGTGTAAATTTCTTAAGACTTAGTGTACCTATAGCAGTCCGCTACTCTGCTGTGAGACGACAATTTGGTCCTTCTCCTGATGAAGAATTGCCTGTTTTAGAATACCAAGTGCAGGTTGAAATACATGCCTATTTATTATTTCATATGTAAAAAAAACTGTTTTTAAATTCTGATAAAAATTTATCTTCAAAATAGTAATTCGCATTTCTAATAGTATAACTAATTTCTAATAACTTTTTATTTTGGCATCTGAACACTTGCTGAGTGTAATAAGAAAAATTGTAATTTGAAACTTAATTTTGAATATATTTGTTTTGAGTTTTTATTTAATTATTAATCCTTTTTAACATGTCTTGTAAAATTTAAACATTTTACCATTTTATTAAAAAAAATTTAATAATTTAATGAATAAATCAAAAATAGTATTTTAGAATACAACATAATGTAATAAATTAGCAAAATGCCTAAGATAAAATCAAATCATTTGTTAGCTTTTGAATTCCGGTTTTTCAGTTGAGTAGCTTTTAAAATTTGAAGACATGCAAATGCATTTCTAGCATGTGTTTTAATTGTGACAAGACAGATTTATTAATATATATATGCAATACTGTGTGAAAATCTGGCTGCCTTCTTGAATTCCAAGAAGAAAAATAAAGTATTACATGATTTTTCAGAGAACATCATAGCAATATTCAGATTTAAAAAGTGGCAAGAGTTCTGTCAGAAAAATTAGTTTTTCATTGAACAATGTATTCTTTAAAAAATTATTTCAAGAATATTAATTTCTTTTAGTATCTTAATAATTTCAATAACTTTTTGCATAGAATTTGCATTTTTAATTATGCTTTTCACTTTATATTTCAAATTACATATAAAAATACGTTTATTATTTCTCATCTTTCAATAATGCTAAATTTTACATATTGTGTACCAATCTGCTAAATTTTTTAATCAAAGAATAAAACGCTAATATTATAATGGATTAGCATTTTTGATATAACGTTTATGTGTGCATGAACATTCCAGCTGATAATTATTATTACAAAATAGAGTAATAGTTATTATATATCATTTTTAAGCCCATAAGTTTTACATATACATACTTTAAATAATTATATATTTAAGCTTGAAACTTTTTAGAAAATAAATGTTTCTTTTATTTGTTATATAAATAGGTAAAATTCCAATGTTAAAAATATTTAAAATTTTTCTCTCTTTCAGCAATGGAGGCTTCTACCCTATGTTGCTGCTACATATGTGTGCTATTATTTTGCCAGAGATTTTTACCAAGATTTTATTGATTATTTTGTAGCAACTTTGTTCAGCCCCAGTTCTTCTGAATTAGCAAGTGATATTATTAAATTATCTTTCTAATTTTTATATATACTTTTATAAACTGCATTCTGTAAGGTGACACTATTTTAAAACACTCCTATGAACTAAGTATGTATTTTAATTTTAAGCTAAAATAAAATTTAATATATTTGTTTAAATATGCTGGAAGAGTGTAAGATTTTACAACTGTTCATGCTGTGTGTGGAAAGAATATTAATATGAAAACTTCAGAGAGCATACTTGTATTTTACAAGTTTTGAATTTTATTTATGAGATAATATATTCTTTGATGTTGAATTTCCTTAGCTTTAAATTTGAACAGGAAGTCAATATGCTATATTATGTTTTTTTTTTTTTTTTTTTTTTTTTTTTTTTGTGAATTAGGTTAATAGCACCAAAACTAAAAAATAATGCATATGTAAACTTATATTCAAATTGTCCTCAAATATTAAACAACATCACATTTCAAAATTTATTTTCTAAGATTAAAAAAAAAGAGTTTTCTTATTTACACATCTCTACTTTTCAATTTATGTTTTCAATTTACCTACAGCCAAAGAGGCAGTGGGTGAAAATTATAGCATTAAAACCATAGACAAATTAAAAAAATTATTTTGAGTAAATCAACAAATCTTGCAAAAATAATAACCAGTACTTGAAAACAAAACCATATCCAATTTTTTAATCCGATATTTGAAAAACCAAAACTATATGCAAATTTTGAAAACATACAAGCTGGAATTAAAAAAAAAATAATAGTATGAAGCTTAAAAATTTAGTAATAATTTACAGTTTGAATGGTCTGAGTCCAAAAAATGCAGAATAGAAGTAATCCACAAATGAAAAAATAAATTAAATAAATGAAAATTTGATGTCAAAATGTGAAATAAAAAAATAGAGGAGTAAAATCTGTAACACAAGCACAACAAAAGTTTTGAAATGAAAAAATGTATTCACCTATATAGTAACAAAGCCTAAAATGTAATAAGTAATAAATTTAGGTAAACTATGAATTTTATACTGCTAAAGCTCAATAAAAATAATCAGAAAAACTTCTGTTATAATATAAAATATGTAACAGTAAAATTGACTGATTTGAAAAGGAAAAATCTAAGAAACTGCTTGGTAAGATAGCATTTTTAATTACATTTAAAGTATATTTAGAGTTTTTACAAATAAGTTAGTATAAACTGAATTCACTTCTGTAATATACTTTTATTTACGTCTTTATCGTCATCATTCTTTCACTGTGTCTAAAGCAGCAGTTCTTTTTTTTTTTTTTTGATTAACATGTACCATCTAAACAAAAATTGAAAACCTTTAGTACTACCACCACCACTCTTGAACAAAGCTCAGATCCTCTAAATTTACGAGTGTTAGTTAAAAAAACGCAATCAGGATGTTGGGGTTTTCATTTTTGAATTTAATATTTAAAAATACTTTTCTTCTTTGTGTACCACCTATTTTTCTCTTGCGTATTATCAATGGTACGCATACCACCGGTTGAGAACCCCTGGTCTAGAGGCTAACTCATCTAACTGCCAACTGGCAAAAGAAAAAAACATTAAAAGAATTATATGATGAGCAATCTGTGTACCATCTGGTGTTTAACATTATCACTACATATAATATATATATATTCTCATTTTAAAGCAAATGAGTGAGAAAAATTCTGATTAATTCCTGTAATACTGAACTGAGTAGCTTAACTAAGTTATAATAAAGATATTATGAGGCTCTGCAATAGGTAATGATCAAATAACATGCACTATGTTTAAATATTAGTAACATCCAGATGATAAAATAATATGCACTATTCTAAAATATCAATAGTGAGTAAGTTTAACATTTTCAGAATGAGAAAAAAGCCTACATCCATGCATTGAGTTGCTGCGGAAAGGCTGTTACTGGTTGGATTGCTCGAGATGGAATTCAAGAATGTAGGGAAGCATGTGGAGGCCATGGTTATTTGAAAGGTAGGCTTCTTTTTTCCATTCACATTCAGTGTTCATACTAAAAACTAAATGTGAACTATAAATAATGGCCATTTGCTTGTCAGGAATGGAGAAATTAATACAGTTGTGAAATTATACATAAGATTCTCACAATAAGTTACCTACTGGGCCATATCTATAACAATAGGTCACCTCCCTTCAGGTTATGAGTATGAATCACGTGATGCGTCTATCTGACATAAGTCATCAGACCAGTTTTGTTGAATCTGGTATGGTGCCAATGCTCAGAAGTATAATGTCTACAGGGTCATTTTAAGCAAATAATTATATGGAGTATGAGAAAACAACACTAAAGATGCTGCCCTAACACCTTGCTGGGTTATGGTAGTGATCTGTCAATAACGGTAACAAATTTCTGGTCATGTTGAGAGACATAAGGACGGTGTTTGTGTGAAAGAAAGATGGGGCTATTTTGTGTTGTTTTATATATGATTGTAGTAGTGAAATTATGACTATTGACAAATGTGAAACAGAACTTAAAAGTACAGTGGCAACCATCGAGAGATATAGTAGGTCTTCTTCGGGACATCACTGCATTCTTCTACCAATTTTGTGTAGTTTAATATTATAATCTGGTAATGCAATAAATCGTCTGATAATGAAATGAAAATAACTACTTAAAGTCGGTGGATAGGTGCGAGAATATCAGAAATCTTTTATGAGCTATATATATTACAACAAATGCTTTTATCCGAGAGGAATTACAGTTCAGGTAATACTGCATAGTAGTCTATGTGCTTTTATTTTATTAGCCCATAGCGGCAAATTGCCAGAAGGACTATTAATTTCGTTTTAACATTTTCATTATTTTTTTTTTTTTTTTTTTTTTGCCAACTACAAAACGGCGTTTCACTTTTCAAATTGTTGCCACCAAATATTAGAGCCCTCCATTATATTTAAAGAAATTAAATAATGAAGAATCTGCATGAATGTATGCATGTGTCTCACATTGTGATTAAATTAAATCTCAGGGCCTTAGGTGAGGTATCCTCATCCTCTTTGTACCGTAGAGCACATTCTAGAATATTGATGGAGTAGCGGGCACATTTTTCTTTCAGTGTAAATTTATAAGTTGACATATTTAATATAGTAACCAAAAATATTATTTTAGATATAAAATTATTGATGGTGTTCTTATGTAAAATAGATAATTACTAAATAGAACAGACAAAGTTTATAAACTCTTTAGTTTACAATTTGTTACTATAAAATTTCTTTGTAAAAATATAATTCATAAGTCAGTGTGATATCTGGTACTGCATTTCATTAGCCACTGCTTCATAATTAGGAGAATATGATGATATATCTGCTCCATCAAGATGTTCATCTCTAAGGTAAGATGGTATTATTATTGAAAACAATGATGTTTGACATTTTCTAATTTTTAACCTTTGTACCTTTAAACTAGGACAATCGTAATCAAACTGGGACATCTGTTAATTCTTAGCATTACAAACAAATATTTTTGTAAACAAATGTGTTTATACTTCTCTAATTAATTATTAACTATAAAAAAAATTACATAACGTTTTATTGAAGGCAAATATTTTTTTTTTAATTTTTTTTTATTGTGGTTGCACAGCAGCGGAGACACATAAAACTGTTGGCAGGTGCAGTGGTGCTCATAGGCATAGGGTTGGCGACCTCTGCCTTAGGGAATGTTTTGCATGTTTCAATTCTCAGCTGTCAGAATAGTGACTTTTTGAAGATTGCCCTAAAAAATACTTGAATACATAATAGAAAGTTGTGTAATTTTTACATGATTTTAATATGTTGTCCAACTGTTATCAACTGGCTAAAAGTGTAAAATATTTAAAATTTTTATTTCACATTTTGTTCCTAGTAGCAGAACAAATTAATTGCATGAGTATTTTTATGATTTTTGTATTGTGGAATGTAAATGTGAATTTTCATCAGATAGCTCTCTTTGAAATTGCGTATTTCCTGTAATACACTAAAATCTTTCAAATGTTTTTCACTACACCTAAACAATCAGATTGTTTTGCAGCAGATAGCCATTCATAAATGAAATGTGTTTCTTACATTAGCAATTTTTAGATCAACAAATAATTCTTCTGGCTTTGGTTTTCCATTTTTTATAACTGGAGTATTTTTCATCAGATATCCATATTTTCTTCATCCTTTATTTCATCATGTAATAAATTTTTTGACATTTTTATTTTTTAAAATATGTCAATTAACCCTCTGAGTACCATGGCCGGCTCTTATCCGGTCAATGAGATTTTTTGTCTGTTGGTATATTTAGCTTATATATTTAAGATATTTTCTTTAATAACATAAATGTCATCTTAATAAATCTAAGTGTATGAAGACATAGACTAAAACAAGTATGTATATAAATTTACCTAATAAAGGTTATTTAAATGCAGGTCCTCACAACAAATAAAAAAATGTTAGTATGCTGTAACTGGTTTGACCTTAGAATCTGGAACTTCTCAAGAATTTGGAATGCATGTATTTTTTTTTTTTTTTTTATATAGAAGGCTGTCACTTTTTTCATACTGCAGTGTGCATAATCCACATTGAAACTAAGCAAACATTAAATTTTAGTTGTCTGAGTAATTGGTTTTACTGACTATTTTGGTTTTTAGCATAACAAATCAGATGATTTTAAATTAAAGACAAATATTATAAGAGAACATGCCCTGGAACATGGCTCAAAGCATCATATATAAGAAAATGAGTCATTTTGTTATGCTATATTTCATACAATGTCAATAGGTTGAATTTTATTTATTTTGTAATGTGTTATTTATTTTGATGATAAACAGATGACCAAGCAATTTCCATGATTATCTATTTCAGAATACATATTTTATAAAATTTCTATGTCGTTCATAATATTGCAAAAAAGATATAGATATATCAGCTTCATATTAATGGTATTGATATTAATGGTATTAGATATAAAATAGAATGACACTTTTTGACATTTAGCAGAGTTTATTTTTTTAATTATGTGTTAATGTGCTGTGTGAAAATACAGGTTCTAATCTAGGCACACAATTAACACATTATTTGTTTGACCTTAGAATTATGTGTAAAACATGTAGCAAATTTGGCATGCATCTGAAGCAGACTAATGCAGTTATTCTTATAGCTGAAGAATAAAATCAATTAATAGGCTTTTTTTTTTCTTTTACTTTACAGTTGAGGCAAAACATACTGGTAATCTCTGAAAAGAGATCATCCCATTACTAAAATTGCAGCCTTTCATCTTACGGAGCAGTAGTTTGCATGCTTGGTTCGCTTGCATTGCTTGCTAAAGTGGGATATTTGGCCTTAAACCCAGATCTAAGTGTGATTTGTTTTGCTTTTCTTTTCACTCTTCTGGACACAATCCTGAAAGACATCATTATAGGACAGTGTTGGTGAACCTTTTTGGAATTGTGTGCCCAGTTTGGTTAAATCCCCATCGGAGAGCGGTTTACAATGTTTTGCCAGGCATTGTGAAATTTGAAAGCTGGCCATTGTTTTATGGCTTGTTTTAGAAAGATAATTGCTAAAAAACAACTTTCTGGTAATTATAATTCCTCAATTTTCCTTCAATAAACACCTTCCGTTCAGCTTCATCAAGTTTGGCAACAATCTTGCGATTGATGTTGAAGTCTCATCTGACCCTTGATGTGCAACACACAACACTTTCCTCGTACAGAATGCATAATGCTTTTTTGTTGTGTTCAATAACTCCAAATGATTCTGTCCAGGTCTCTTGAAATGATCTTCCACTATCAATGTTTAATTTTGCCTTTTTTGCTGGAGTCATTTGTGAAGGTTCAAGATCTGGAGTATAAAAAATCTATTGAACAGTGAAAGTATTAAAACTCACCAACAGTCTGCAATAAATTTGAATTCGTTTAGCAAACTATAGCTGCTTCAACTTTGGCATATTCTTTGCCATGTAACAAGTAATATGATTGTCCGAAACAATTGAAATGTCATAAATTGGGTCAATAAATATGTATATCATTTCTATGGCGATATATGAAAATTTTATATCTCTGCTTAGGCCTTATGCGAGTGGCATTATGCGATAAGTAAGGGAAGTACTCAAGAATAGACTAAAACACCTATTTAAATTACATAAAATTATTTTATTGTGATTATTAATTAAGGAAGTAATATTCTAGTCGTGTGCTGGCTAATGAGGCTCTGCATGCCGTAGGTTCGGCATCTTTAACCTCATTTGGCATAATAGAATAAGTACTTGGCTGATAGTTTCTTTGAAATACATTATGCTATGTCCTCGAATGTAAACTTTACCTGTACCACATGGTATTTGTATGTTCTATGTTTCGTAATTTTCATCTTGTTTTGGGCATTTTAAAGAGAATTTTAAGTGTTTTTAAATTTTTTATTTATATACTTTCTGACCTTAACTGAATTTTAATTTTCATTCCATATTTTATAATGTAAACATTTAATTTGTTTGCAGATCTTTTTATTATTAATTCATTCGTATCAAAGGGTATTGAAATAAAAATTACAGCAAGGTGAATTGCTTATTACACTAAGATGAAACTTTTTATCATTCCGAGGAAAGAGAATTATTATAGATTGCAATTATTTATCATAATGCATACTTCCCAACTCACCTTGTTTTTCATCATATCTCACCAAATCTCCCAGTTTTTAATTCTTAGCATTTTGATACAGAAAATGTTTCCCAGCAATTAGGCAAATTTCATCCTCTAGTGATTTTTCAAAATAATTTTTCCTATTACATTTTATTTCATCTGAAATGATCTTTCATTTTACATTTTTATTAATCTTATTGAATTTCATTTGATCGGAGTTGTCTTAATCTACTGTAGACATTTGTAGATTTTTATATGAAGATTCAAGCAATGTTTAATTAGCTAATATTTGTATTTAATTTTAATTTTGCTTCAATATTAATATTATACATAGTATTTGTGTGGGTACTAATTTTATCCACACAAATACTATGCACTTAATTATTAGCATTATTTTCATTGTATTTAAAAGTACTTTGATAAAGTTTCACTATTCAGGATTTTCTCTCAATATGAAATTGTAAGAAAATATAAAAATGAAATTAGCCAAAGAACATAAAATTTACAATATCTAATTAAATGCTACAGTCAAAAGTCGTTAATCCGGACTCGTCGGGACTTCAGCGATTCCAGATTATCGATTTTTCCGGATTATAGATCATCAGTTTAAATCTCATAAGATGGCATGCAGAAATTCTAAAATTAAAAATATGAAACCATAATTTATGAAATAAAGAACAATTATGATCTAAAGGGTATCAAAATTTACAAAAAAAAAAAGCTTAATATTTATTTGTTTACTTTATTAAACATTTCTTTCAATGTAAGTTGTTTAAGTTGCTTCGTTTTATGTAATAATACTTTCTCTTTAATTCTATAAACAGACATATATTTTTGTTCAGTTACAAAGTTCCGCTGTTCAAGTCTCGTAATTGCTGTGCGAGAATACCGACTAACTTGTCATTCGAAATTTTTTTGTTTTCACTAACCTCTCTGTCACCTTCTTCATGTCCTTATCCATTTTTTACAGCAATTCCACTTTTTGTTTGATGGACATCGAAGCATACTTTCGTTTTGTAGATCCTTTGCAGCTCCAGCATCGGAAATTCTATTTGACATAATCGAAAGTTCAAGTTTACTTTTATAAAATTGCTCTTACAGTCTGAAAAAAGTAATAAGCCGGATCCAGTTCGAAGATTAAGGAACAACGCAATCATCAACATTAACTGAAGTAGATAATTAGATAATTTTAGCTTATACCGTCCGTTATACATTAAGCGCACACGCGAAAACGTATTCTGCACTTGCGCACACGCATATGCGCAGTCGTAAAGGTCTTATGCGCACGCGTAAACGCCTATGCGCATGTTGTCAACGTGGCGCATGCGCAGAAAGTTTTTAGCTTTGAGGTCCGGATTATGGGTGTCCGAGTTAACGACTTTTGACTGTAATACATTTTACATGAAAATTGTATTACAAATAGTTAAGTAACCTGAATCATGCATTATAAAGTGAATTTGAGACAATTTAGAGTTAATCTGATGGTGTCACTGCTCAGTATTAAAACCTCTTGGTTTTCTTGTAAAAAAAAACTCTCAATTTTTTAAGATTTCAAGGTTGGTAGCTAGTATAATATATTTAATTTCTTGTAAGCAACTGTGTGCATTTTTCAGAGTATAATTATTATAATTAACCTAACACGAAACAAATAATATGTTAAAGCAAAATTTCATGTAAACTAAAAATACATTTTATCACTTCAATTTCAGCTGCTGGTTTCGGGAATCTACGTAATGATAACGATGCAAACTGTACATATGAAGGAGATAATAATGTAATTTTGCAACAAACAAGTAACTATTTGCTGAATATGTTGAAGAGGAAGCATTCAGGTATATAAATTATATCATTTGAATATCTAAGTAATGTGCTTACTGTTCTCATTAAATTAACTTGCTTTGCACTTATTTAAATAATAATTTTGCTCCTTTTAAAAACTCACATAAAGTTACCTTTTTTTTGTAACATTTGTATGAAAATATTTTTATGGTAATTAAGATCTCTCTATGAACTACTTTATGGTTTATTTTGAAATACTTAAGCATGAAAAACAAATTGCAAAATTACTTTGTGATTTGTTTATACAAATTAGCTCAACATATTTCTAAATATGGTAGTTAAATATTGATGGACCTGGACTGTCAGTTTGGTTCAGGAAAGTTACACAAGGAAGATTAATCATTTCTACTCGAATGTTCACAAATAATCATGAATAAATTTTTTATGTGTATTTTGAAGGCATGTAAAGCATGAATTTAGTAGGTTAAACTGTATTTCTCTAAACTGATTGTTAATGTTAATTAAATTTATTATAAACAAAGAAGCATTTTATTATAAAATTTTAAACATAAAACCTGAAATATACTCCTGTTACTTTATTCTGTTTTCTACCCATGCTGTACTGAATTCTTACACTGATATTTATTTTCTGTTAATTGGTAAAGTACTAAATTATATTTTACAATTGCTTATTTAAATTCATATGCACAGTTTTAGGGAGAAAGTGTGCATATGAATTTCAAAATACTGCTAAAAAGCTGCAGCTGTTTATTTTATATACATTACAAATTATTTTAATGCATCAATTTGGGATTTATTTTTAAATCAAAAAAAAAAAGTGATAGAGAAACCAATATTTTTTTTTTTGAAAAAATAAAGAAAGTTTAATAAATATTTTAAATATTTTTAAAACTTATTTTTGTGTATATATATGTTTTTGGTGTTTCAGTTACATCTACTGAGAAAATTTATGTCCTCTTTATTTTTCTTTTGCAATTATATACCAAAGTATTATTTTTTTATACATATTGGCTAGAAAGACATTATTAAAAACAGCATTATTACTAAAATAAACAGTAAATAAAGTTTAAAGTTCATAATAATTCATATCTTTTTAGGCAGATGCATCGCAAGAGGAAACGGTTTTTTAAGCCAGATTTCAATTATGAAAGTTATTCTAGTTACAGTATAAAGCTTAGCAATAAATAATTTGATTGCTTTACTTCGATTTTCTTTCGAAAAATATGTAATTTTTATTCACTATTTTATATCTATTAAATTTTGCTTTCAATTAATATATTTATTAATTCTGTGGAATTACATGTATTTCTAAGCCCCAATACTTTCTTTTAAAGTATTGTTACATTTAAGTGGAATACATGGAATTAAATCTAGTTTAAATGAATAGGCAAACTAAATTCACTTTTTTCCCCTATCTGGATATATATTTTTTAAATGTATTTAATTTTTTGTAAGAAAGACTGTTACAATTATTCACCATTGTCTTAAATTTGATAAAAATTATGCTTTATGTATTTATTTGTAATTTTTTGTAAAGGGGAAGATATGCCATCATTTTTGCAAGACCTTTCCTTCATGGATGAAATGCATGGAATATTGAAAACTAAGTATCTGCCCAAATCTGAAACAGATAGCATTGAACTTCCAGGTGAGCATTTAGCTATCTAATGTTAATAAATCATAATAACCGACATTAGTTTATATATATACTGGCTATCAGGTTGTAGCAATTGTAATTCTCCAGATTATAGTTTTCAACATTTCTTATATATTTTGAACTTAATGGATATGAAAATTTCATTATCAAAGCATCATAATTTGTATTCGTAAAATAGTGTCATTTATTTTAAGTATTTTTAAAGAAACTTTCTTAATAAAACTCGTAATGTAATGTTTCTCACTTCTTAATATAACTCATAATGTATTGTGTACATTTCTTGTATTCATCTTATCTTGAATCTCTATCCTTATTACACATTTGTATTCAACATATATTATGTTCCAATAATACAGATTTAAAAGATAGAAGAAAACATAAACAGTTTCAAAAATTATATAATTTTAAAAGTTTTTTAAATTAAAATTTTTGTAATTAATCAATATAGTGGCTCTGTTTGAAATGTATTGTTTACTCTACATCATAGAACCTTTTAAATTCTGGAGGATTTGAAATATGCTCTTCTTTTTAAAATTAATCGCATTTTAAGCAATCAGAAAACTGCGAGTTTCTGTAAAAATGTCAAAGCCAAAATTTCCAGTAACTATATTTTCTCATTTGTCTCCAAACTTAGAATTCTGAATTATGCCATCTGTGCTGAATTAAGATTGCTAATTATAAGAAAAAATTATGAATGACTATTAGTTGGCCTGTTTTAAGATGAGCAAATTGCTATTTTATGTTAATGCATTTAAAGTGTGTTAAAACTTTTATTTAAGCAGGTATTATTTCATAAAATTAAATGTAAAAGTTTCATATCCATTTCACTATTAGCTAGTTCCTTTTCACAGATTTCAGGTAACTGAATAATTTTTTTTGATGGTCTTTCAAATATATATATATGTTTCAACTACTATTACAGAATATAGTAGAAATATATATATATAATAATATTAAGAAAAAACTTTTTTCTTAAAGGAATTCATTAAAAATTTAAGCTCAGAATTTTTTAAATCTATATTAAGAAATGTAATGTAGTGTCTGATGCTGCTGTTGGATCTCGTATATCCTGTAGCAATTGACTGCTACAGGAAATCAGTTAGGTCCCAATCACATTATGTTTTGGCTATGCAGGACTTGGCATCGAAAGGGACAATTCTCAGAACCTGCACAATTCCAGGAAACCCACGTAGCTAGGTTACCATTTTCGCTTACTACAGAGACTTGAACGCCAAACAGTAATCGATTATTGCTCAGATTGGGATCATGTGATCCTTCACAAGCAGAACGTTCATCTGATTGGTTGTCTCTACCCGGAACAGAGCTCCAGCCTAGACATTTTCAGCGAGGTTTGAAAAAATACCGCGTAGCCGCAACATCGTTTCCGTAGCTAGGCGTGATTTCGCTTTCAGCGGAGCTCCTTTTTCTAGGAATCCTCCCGTTTAAACCAGTGCTACCAGAATTTCATTTCTCAGAAAAGTCCCGTCTAACAGGGACTGCAATATAACCTCTTTAGAGTTTGAATAGGAACAGAACAATAGCCACTAGCTTTAGCACTTACTGAATACATGCTTAAGCTGCACTATGCTATGCACTATGCACATGCTAAGCTAGAAGTGTACCTTAGTCTCCGAGAGATAGGTATGCCAAATTATAACTAGCCAACTAAATTTTATGCATAATAATTCTTTACTAATTAGCCCAAATAAATTTATCATTCATGTTGAAAAGTTTAAGTGCCACCTATCAAACCAATACATATCAGTAAATACCACAAAAAATGCTAAGCATATGTCAATGTGTAATGTATAATAAGCAGTAATAAATGTGTGTACCCAGGCAATAATTAATGCAGTGAAGCAGTATATTAGACATAATGTACATAAGCAGACGTAAATATAAGTGTGTTATTGCAATAATAGTGTTCTAAACGTAATAATGTTTAAATGTAAAGCAAACAAGTAGATGTAAAAGCAAAACGTTTTAAAAATTAATGATAGTGTTTTTAAATGTTGTAATGTGTAATGTAATGTATATAAGCAGTTGTAAATGTCAGTGTGTACTTATGCAAACAGATTGACACGCAATGATTAAAGTAGTGATTACCTGAAGCAGTGTATTAGACGTAATTGTAAGTGTATATTGCAATAATAGTGTTCTGAATGTAAAAATGTCATAAATGTAAAGCAAGCGCATCTTTTTTTTTTTTTTTTTTTTTTAATTAAGGATAATGTTTTTAAATATTTTAATGTGTAATGTAATGTATATAAGCAGCTGGAAATGTGTGTAATTATGCAAATAGATGAAACGCAATAATTAATGTAGTGATTAACTGAAGCAGTGTATTAGGCGTAATGTACATAATCAGACGTAAATATAAGCGTATATTGCAATAATAGTGTCTTAAACGTAAAAGTGTTGTTCTAATTGTAAAACAAACATCTCTAGGTAATCAATAACAAATATCTCTAGATATCTCTAAAATATCTCTAGATATAGGTGGACGTGGTGCTATACCAATTAACCTCAATGGTAGAGGCATGGTGCCCACACCCTCCGTCGCATATCGCATATCAACCCAATACAGGAATACTGCATGATTTCAATCATGCCATAATATCAAAATATTTATTCTGTAAATGCATATGATTTTTGTGTAAGATATATTATGTTATACTTACACTATTTATGGTATAGACCAAATAATGCTCAAAATGTTTTGCAGATTCATTAGAAAGCATATTTAAATATTATTTAATATTTTCCTCAATGTCAGAAAGTTTTTCTTTAGAACACACTAAGTTATCAAAATGTCAAAGTTTATGAAAATAGATTAGTTAAAATTAATGTTAGATTTATTTCTGTTTCAGTTTTCTAACCTTTTATATTTATTCAGATCAGATGGAGCAATGTATTCCATTATATACATATGCATGTATATTTTTATCTTGTAGATATTTTCTGTAGTACAAATATGAGATTTTTCATAATCGCATATTTGTTGTACAGGGTGGGCCAAATAAAACCTACTAATGTTAAACACAGATAACTCTTGCAATAATAACTTATTTTGATTATTTTTTAATTAAACATATTTTATGGAAATTAGGTATGAAATATAACATCAGACAAATGTCCACCATTTTCCTCGATACAGAAATTGTCTCTTTAAAACGTGTTTTCCATTACATCATGTAATGTTTCTGGTTAAAGGCTCAGTATTTTGTATCGAATATTCTGCTTCAGTTGTCCAATAGTCTTTGGTTTATTAACATATACTTTGTCTTTTAAATATCCCTATATAAAAAAAGGATTCTACTCCACCATCGGCCACAAAAGGTTTTCAATCATTGTTCTGTAAGAAGCTGCGGAAATCGTTTCCAGCGTTCCATCCACATTCTCGAAGAAATATGGGTCAATAACTGTATTGGCCATAACACCGCTCCAAACAGTACACTTGAATTAAAATATTGCAGATATTTACACTGCATCATAACAATGGATCATTAACAAGAATAGAAAAACTCAATAATTTTGAACGCATTGTTTTGTACTGTATGGTTCCATAATAAATTTCAAGAATTCAATTATAACCTACAAAAAGAAAAAATAATTATATCAAAAAATAAAAAAGTTATTTGTGTTTAACATTGGTAGGTCTTATCTGGCCCATCCTGTATAAATATATGTTTAGTACAGCCATATTTAACTTTAAAAAATTATTTTATTTACAAGAAAGTTGTAAATTAAATAATAGTATCCATGATAGCCCTTCTAAAAAAAATATTGATTGTAAATTTTGTTTGTGTGTATTTCAGAATGTTTTATTTTAACTATTATTATTATTACTATTTATTAAAGAACTTTTTTTTATTTTAGAAATTATTCGAATGTATGAATGGTTAGTATGTTACTTGCTTGAAAAAAGTGCTGCAAAATTTGATGCTGAATTACAAAGATGCAAAAATACATTTATAGCTCGCTGTAATTCCCAAGTGTTCATGTGCCATACTCTAGCTATAGCATATTTTCAGGTTAGTGGCTTTTATTTTCTATTATAATAACTATGTAGGTCTTTGGGAAAGTCTAGTATTTTTTGTTGTTGTGTGTGTCATAGCACCTAAGTAACTTATTTACACAAAGAAAGGCGATCAGATGCCTTAATTTTTTTTCTTCTGTTTTTTTCTGCAAGTCTTTCTTATGAAACAAATAGGATTATATACTAATTAAACATTACTCTGTTATTTTGTAGTTGGGAATTTTTCCTATCTATTGCCTTTTCAGTCAAATTTTGTCATCCATAGAAACATTACCAGCATGTTCATTTGACTGCACTTTGTCAATTTCATATACATAGGTAGACTGAAAAGTTCCCAGATTGATGATGAAAATAAAATAAATTTGATTCAACTAATGTTTTATTTTTCAACGTATTCCACTTAGTTATTATTTCTCCAACTCAAGTCCTTCATTGAAAATACTTTTTCAAAATTTCTAAAATACCAATTTACGGCCTCAGTTGCCTCTTTATTTGGGGGGGGGGACTTTCTAAGCAGGAATGCTTTGAATTGTGGGAACATATGGAAAATTGGAGAAGCCTAACCAGGTGAATATTATGGATGTAGAAAGATTTGAAACTTCGAATTTAACAATTTTTGTTGTTTGCATGCACATGAATGAGCAGGGCCATTATCATGATGAAACAACTTTTTCTTGGACATTTTTGGATTTTTTTTTTTTTTTTTCCAACTTTTCCAGAAGTATTGCATAGTATTGGCCAAGAGCAATTTTCTCTTTCTTGATGATCAATAGGTAAAATTCTCTTGGCATTCTAAAAAATGTCAAGATAGTCTTTACAGGAATCAATTTTACTATCTCCAAAGTACTGTTTAGATTGCAGTTTCTTTTCAGGTGAGTTATGAGGAATCCGAATCTGATCTATCTAAATGCATTGTCCCCTAAAACCTTGTGAATTCCTCTTAGAATCATTAAAAATATCTGAGATTGAGAATCCAGTTCAAGCACTTGTAATTAGAAATCTATTATGGACATATCATGGACTTTATCCATAATTTCAGATGTGATTGCTGTTTTTGGGATGTCTAGAATGTTTTTACCTGTTATGCAAGTGGGATATTGTTTGAATCTTTGAGGGAAAAAAAAAAATCATGTTAGAAATTCCCAAGAATAGCATCCACTTTGGATCTGATTTTCACCGTTATTGGTTTTTTCCCCCCTCCCCCCTATTCCGAATGTAAAAAACTTACTTGAACTTGTTTTCAATTATGTATGCAAATGCTTGCAAAAACCAGATCATTTGAATTTGGAATTTTATTTCAATTTATATAAGATGCTAGAAGAAAACATAAGAATTATTCAGAAAAAATAATCTCTAGTGGAGATTCTGGAAACTTTTCATTCTACCAATATACGTATTACTTCCATGGCATTACAATACATCTGCAGTAGTTATATATATCTGTGACAGTAACTAGTAGATAGAGAATTTAATATTTATAAATATTATCATATGCTGTGGGTTCCTAAAGATCTTTTTAAATAACTAAACCAGATGAACAGAAAATCTTGAATCTTTATTGAGATAAATAACAGCTCATATAGGTACAAATGGCCTAAGAAAGATAAAGTTAACATTATCTTTATGGAAAATATTGCAGTTCGCCAAAATTACTTGCAGAGCAAAGTTTCAAATATTAATCGCTAAGCAGTGTAAATAAGAACGTCAAACAAATGTTTCAATTTCACAATCACCAGTTCAGTTTGAAAATCACCAATGACTAATTCACTTATAGCCTTCTGTATGTAGGGTTGTTTGAGCAGGAAAGTAAGTGCTTCTGGAAGCTTTGAGAAAAACTTACTGCAAGAGCTTTACGAATGTATTTTCCAAAAACTTCTTAGAATGTCACCAAGCTGGTGAAAAGTCACCAAGTCCATTAGAAGGGTTTCTGTTAATATCTTCAGTTCTAAGCTATCACAGTCACTATAGAATTAAAAAATCTACACTATAGTAACAAAATAAATGTATGCAATTACAAGAAGTGGCTGAAAGTTTAAGATAAAATAATAAATAAGCATGCAAACTATAAAAAATAAGCATATAAAAACAATGCTGACTTCTATACCTCATGGTAGAAACTAAAATTTACAACCATATCATCTGTTTATGTATGCCAAAACACTATGACCACCTACTCATCAATAATTCGTTATACAACCTTTGGCCTGCAAAACAACTGCAACTTATTGTGGCATCTATGCCACAAGTTCTTTGTAGATGACTGGAGACTGGTTGTACCAAATGTCTGGGCAGTGGTCACGCAAAGTCGAGGTATTCCAACATGGTGCTGTTTGAGCTCTGAGCTACCGCTGCATGACATCCCAGATGTTCTCTATCAGGGTAAGATCCAGCAAGTTAGGTGGCCAGGACATTCGTCTTCATGCTCCTCGAACACAATTTCAGCCTTGTGACATAGCGCGTTGTTCTGCTGGATTCCATTCCCGATTGGGAAGACAGGCGCCATGTAAGGTTACAACTGATCTGCAGTTATGTTGAGATAGTCTACAACTTTCATGGACTGTTCTATCACAACTAGGGGTGCTAGAGCCGCCCATGAAGATGTCACCCTCCCTCCCCAAAGCATAATACACCATGTGTATGACCAGCTGTACAGATGCAGGGGAGCAATTGTTCACTTGAAAGACAACATACCTTGACACGACCATCAACGCAATGAATGAGAAATCGTGATTCATCTGACCAGGCAACTGTCTTCCACTTAGCCGTGGTCCATTCTTGATATTCTCGGACCCACTGTAGGCATAGTTGATGCTTGGTCTACAAAGGCACACGAATGGGATGTCTGTTGCGGTTTCCCATATCCAAACAGTGTCCACTAAATTGTGTATTCCAAAACACTTGCTCTTGGACTTGCATTGTATTAGACTGTCAGGTAAACCATTATCTGGCACCAATTCTGCTGTACCAAGGGGGGGGCAGTCTCCAATGTCCTTTTTCTTTGATGATACGTGGATGTCCAACATCTTGGCATCTACTGCTGGTTTCACTGTCATTTTAACAATGCTAGATAACGAACAACTTACCAGTCATGCAGTTTCAGAGATACTCGCTCCAAGTCTTCAGGCCATTACTATCACCCTCTATCAAATTCACTTAGATCCGCAGCCTTTCCCATTACTTGCAAAAGTAAGTACAAGAAAGATTACTTTCTCCAGCAGCAGTGAAATATTATTCCCACTTAATCATGTTTCCTCCACGTCATTCAGATGAGTTCATTGGAAAATGTAGAGGATATTGCAGAAAATTGAAAACATTTCAAATTTTCTTTCATTATATATTTTATATATTCTGTGTATGTGCATATATGATATAAAGTGTAACTTTGTAAAATAAAGTTCCAATGTATTTAATATTTTCTAAAAAGTAATAGTCTGTAAATAAATAAATGAAAGCTATTATTTTTTTATTAAATTTTCAAAATGACATAGATTTCTTATTTAAATTAGGAGTTAAACAATTTTTAAACAACTTATATGTTGTGAAAACAGACTGTTAACACATCGCATATTCTGCATCTCATAGGCCTAAATTTTGGATTTTAATCTAGACTTTCAAAAGGGTGATTGTTCCAATACTGCCGATCAGTTAAAATGGGGTTTTAGTATATTAAAAAAATAATGTAGTGAATAGATAGTTTGTAGTTGCTGCAGCTGCAGTTTGCAATAAATGGATGGATAAAGCATGCTGCAGTTTGCAATAAATGGATTGGTCAGCACCATTATATCTTGACTTCTTAGAATCTTGATACTCCATTTAGATTATATTCTTTTAACTTATATTCTTTTAACTGATAATAATTTTACTAGCCAACGCATTATTTGTAAAATCTTGTACTGTGTTATTGTAAAATATTATTACTGCTATCTTATTGTATATTCGTAAAACTGTGTATGTTTATGTAGATGGTAGCCTTGAAAAGGTTTGCAAAATTAATAATGGAACAAAATAATCCTTCAAATAAGTTGATCCTGATAAAGTTAGGAAGATTATATGGATTGTGGACCATTGACAAGCATCTAGCTATATTATATGCAGGTAAATAAAATTCTTATATAATACATTACTACTTAGTTGAATATTAGATTTTCCAAAATACACTGGAGCTCTAGTAATCTGGAACTCTTAATTATACAGATTGTTTGCTGTGATAAGTAAAATTCAACTTTTTTGTAAATAATATAAGACAGGAATCATATTTTTAAGGAGCTATTTAATTTAAATGAATATCGAACACACTGTATATTCATTTATTAAATGAAACTCATATGTATTAAATGAATATGTAACATCAAAACATGTAATCTATGAGCATTAATGGAAAATAAGTTTTATTTTTAAATGCCAGACACTTTGCTATTTAAGGATTCATAAGGAAAGGCCAAATCCATCAGTTATTAGGCCATCTCAACAAGAACATTGATCAAGGTGCACAACAACATGGTGCAACTGATCTTACACCTACAACACTGAAATTCCATCCCAGTTTTGATGGAGAACATCCCTCTGGATGGATCTAAGGGTCTTCCACCTCTCAAGAGGTTATAGAATCTCAAGAGGACTTTTCGTTTACCATTATTTTAAGTGCCCCTGCCACACAAAAACTACATATTTACTCAGAATTTAAACTATGGCACAATAATATGGTAACCACCATACATAAAAACATTAACCACTAAAATAAATACATATTGCATAATTTTCTCTTTATTTAATCTATGAACTATAATCAGCTGTAGCAAGTGCTGATTTTTATAAATAGATTTGTTATGTCCCTTTCCTTCCCAGCTCTAACCTGAAAGCTTGTTGAGAAATTCGTTAGTATGGTGGAAGAGATTCATTTTTTCATGTCACAGTATTATCACATTATTATCTTGTTCTGTTATATTTGCAGGAATCTGACAGAGGTGTCAGAGGACTTGACAAAAAAATGTTTGTTTGAAATGTCTTTAAAACTGTAAGAAATTCTATTGAAAGGAATTTTCAGAATATACTTAAAGTATATCTGCTATGAATATGTGACAAACACAATAGCAGTAAATCACATTATATAAGTTTGAAGTGCTAAAAACAATTTTTAGATTTAAAAACTGTTAGATATGCTTAAAGATACACACTTAAAACATATGATTATCTTCTGTAATGAATATTAGTTTGAAATTGGTAGAGACATAATTGATTACAGCTACTTATCCCTAGATGAACATGAGTGCAAAAGTTTCCTAATTAGCACAATGCATGAAAAGTCTAATATACTGTACTTTCTTATTGTTTCCTCCTGGATGATAAACGGATTTTAATATCTAATATTAAAATTGTTACATTTATTTCAGGTGGCTTCATCTCTGGTAGTTTACCAAATACTGTAATTAAAGAAAACATTTTACGCTTATGCACAGAATTAAAGAATGAAGCTGTCTCTTTGGTTGATGTATTTGCTCCTCCCGATTTTATTTTGAACTCTGCCCTTGGAAAATCAGACGGCCAAGTAAGTTATTTATAATATTGCAATATTATTTTATTCTGGGAATTTGTTTGATCTAAATGAACAGCATAAGATGGAAAAAACTTGGATCATTGAAATTCCAGAGCAATCACAGTCAATAAGGAAATGAAAGCTGAACTTGAGCATTCATTCTGTACCATAAAATAGCTATCGTAGCTCAGAACTTGTTACTAATATAAAACCATGCCGTATTTGTTTAAGATCACATAAGGTCAGATCGACGTAAAAAAGTATGAACCTCTTATTTTCTGTAGCTAAAGCAATCAGAAGCATCTATAACTAATTCAAGATATGATTTAAGTACCATTGGTTACACTAATTTTCTCTGATAAGTACCATATCAACATACAGAATGGTTAAAAATACCTTCAGTAATGTTGAAGTTACCACTCAAAAATCCTTCACATATATAGATGGGCAGCACTGCTTCTGAAAATAATGTGTGATTCTGAGCAGTCCAGTCCAGAATAGGAGACAAACTACATCATATCACATCACAGTGCATCAAACTTTATCCAGAAGAATAAATTTCAAAACATAAACCTCGCATAAACATAACTTTACCATCTTCCCAGCTTAGTGTTTACAATCTTTCCAGCTTAGATGTGAGTGATAGGATTTTTGCAGGTTAAGCAAAAATCCTATCACTCACATCTAGGCTATGCTCCTTTACCCATAGGGCAGTAAGCTTATAAAATTTGGCTTAACATAATTTTAAGTTTATAAGATTCATGGCTTAATTTCTTTATGCTGCATAACCTTATCTTACAGAGGTTATCTAAAAGAAATCAGATTTATAGACTGAACTTCAATTAACAAAGAGTAAAATTTTGTTGAAGATGTATTCGCTAATAAAAAAAACTGTCCACTGATGCTTAAAAGGCTTTCAATTTAACCTACAAAAATGCAATCCAAGTTGTGTCTATCTAGCTTCAATTCCACTCCAGTGCACCTCTGTCTAGTCTGAACTTCTTAAGGTGAGTAGATAGTTATCACAAAAGTACTGTTACGAAATGTCCAGGCACGGTAGGATAGCTTCCCCGCAAAGCAGGTTTAGGGTTGCCAGAAAATGGCAAGGGAAGGCAGGGTTGCCACATTTGGCAACAAAATTGGCGATATGCCATAAATGGATGGAGCTGGAGTACCTTCTGGAGCGAATTCTTACTGGTTTAGCCCAGAATGTTCTCGAACACAAGCCAAAAGCTATATAAACCCTGCTGGTACGCGAAGAGTCAGTCCGTGCAGAGTCGATCGAGTTGATAGTCAGTCAGCAAGCGAATGCCAAGTAGGTTGTCGAGTGCATCAAGAGAGTAACTTGGTGTATTGCGATTTAGTGCATTGAGGTCCGAGGACAACCGAACTGGGTGGGGAGCTGTACTCTAGTGTATCGTCGAGTGCATCATGAGTTGTTGCATGGAGAGTGTCGAGAGCTCTGGTGCTTTGCTGTGAAGCTGTCTCCACCGCTGTAGCCTGGAGGCTGATTGTTTCAGCGTGATTATAGTAGTCCTTCGACGGCTGTAAGCGTATTATTGGAGCTGTCTTGAATAATACTGGCCAATAAATTGTTTTTCGATACTTCATCAAGTGTCATCGTCACTCACTCCAAATCCACAAACCCCGTACTTAACTTAAAGAAGAAAAAAAAGTAACAGTACCATAGGATAACAATTTGCAAATGGCTAAAATGCTTAGGTAAACAGAATATTAGTGTTGCCAATCCACACTTACAAAATATTATACTAGCAGTCAACCTAAGCTTCATTAGATATGGCTTTTATTAAAGTGTTAAATTTATCTGGCGATTTAAATTGTGTAGAGCACTGCTTGATCCTGGCAGGGAAGCAAGTTTCATTACAAAGAGTGTGTAATTGAGTTAGGTTTATAGAGAAGAAATAAATGCAAAGGTTTTTATTTCATGTTAATGATCGCCGAATGCGAAGCCTAATGAAATTGCACAAATAATGTTTATGCGAGGTTTATGCAAGGTTCTGGTTTCTATCATTTCTAGCAGTTGTAGTTGAGAAATTAAACAATAAAATATGACTATTGAGGAAAGAATGGCTGAAAAGAAAAGGAAGCATAGGAAAATTTAAAATATGCTCTGACTATCTTTTAGAAATGTATAAAAACACTCTGTACTTATCTCTTCATACTTTTGTATCATTACTTCATTTTGAAAGGCCTTGTCTGTGAGTTTGAATGCTTTGCCAAAATTATCCAATGTTTTGTTTGTTGTTATTTATGCTCATTTGTCTGATGTAGTCAGCCCAAGCCCATGAAATTCCTTGTGGCAAGTAGTGCAATTTTACTCCTGTCGTTGGCAACAGCATTGAGCACCTAACAGATGACAGTACAATTTGGCTTAGTCCCTGCATACCATTTGTTGCCAATACTCACAACCTTGCTATGCTAGCCAATAGTGGTTCCAGTTACACCAGGAAGGCATTCGGTAATATAAGAAGGAAAACTTCTTTCTATTCTTCCCCACTTAGGTCCCCACTTTCCCCACTTAGAAGGCAAGGATCCAATCTCTAAATCATGAAATAAATTACCGTCCACTCATTTTAGTTCGTGGACCACTGTAGAATCATTAGATTTCTTTCGGAGCAGGATAGGTAAGACAATACGCTATCCTTTGGCTGAAATTCATTATGCTCTGGCTGCTCCCGTTGCTACTCCCAAGAGCTTCCAATTACGCCAGAAAAACAAGCTGCAAGAAGGGATGAAATACCTTATATATTGTATCTGATGAAACTTTGTGGACTTCCTGTTTGTTCCTCAACTGAGAATATTCCAACCAACACCTATGCAACTGTGGAGGTCATCCGCCTAATTCTTTAAATGTGTTATTAGATAGCTCTTCATCCACTGATGCAACGAACTGTCCGAACATCTTTCCCACACTGGCACATACTGCAACTTTGTAAGTTCTAAACTATAGAAGAATTGGAAATAGCTTTTGCTGATCTCTTGGCAGAACCACCAAAAGGTCATTTAATAAAAGTCCTAATGTTGTTCTAGTTGAAGCATCAAAAACGACTCTCAACTTAGTAATGGTATTTGATTCCAATATAAGAAAGATGATAAAGCATGTGATATGCAGAATCACTAAAATTCTCTCTCTCAGATACTCATCCGTATTTCTCAGCTCAAGGTATTTCCTCATAAAATCTTTATATTGTTTATACATCTGAAACCTTTTTAAAAGTGAATTCTCTGAAGACTTGAATCTGCACATAGTTAATTGTCTCGAATCTCTAAAATAAGAAGGCAAAGAATGAAAGGACATTTCACTGTATTTATACTACACCACTTTTCTTTCTTGTAAATGTATATTTGAAGTTATTCTCACATACTCTGTCCGATTTGGTAAGCATATCAAGTGTAGATACAGCATCTAATTTCCAAAAATCAGACAACATCTGCTCCACCTCCACTTGTATATTATACATATAGGTTTAACCTCTGTTGAAGTATTCTCACTACCTAAAATAATCCATCCTAGTTCAGAAACAAGAGGCTACTGGTTAACCTTCTCCACATTTAATCGTTTCACCTTCCAGAAATGGTAAAGCGATATCCATGCCTAAAAGTGTATACCAGCAAGCACACTCTTGTAGAATGTTAGATCTGTCAATACTAAATCATTATATTCCTCCAATGTAAAATGCGGCCATGCTCCAGTAATTCTATTGATAATAAATACTCGTGTTAAAAATGACACTTTCACTGAAAAATGCAGGATGAAAATTATTTGTGCAATTTCATTAGGCTTCGCATTCGGCGATCATTAACATGAAATAAAAACCTTTGCATTTATTTCATCTCTATAAACCTAACTCAATTGCACACTCTTTGTAATGAAACTCGCTTCTCTGTCAGGATCAAGCAGTGCTCTACACAATTCAAATCACCAGATAAATTTAACACTTTAATAAAAGCTATATCTAATAAAACCTCATGCTGAAAATTAAAGTCAGATACACAAAATTTGGAGCTCACAATATTCTCTGGACTTAACCAACTAATTCCATGCCAGGGAAAAATAGCTTGGCAGTCACCAATAATTTGTTCGAAATGTTTTACACATTTTCTGGCTCTGTCAAAATGCAGATGTGATTTTTAAAGCACTTTTTACATTTATGGATACTTCTACACTCCAAAGCTTTAAAACAAAACAATTAAAATACAGATTGTTTGGCATTGTCCCAACTGGCGATCTACCGAATTTTGTTACTTAATTAGTTTTATACTAGATAGTGGCACATCTTTTTCAGACTATTTTGTTTGTGAAAGCAATGTTTATGCTTAGCATTTCTTTCACATGCAATTTTTCCATTGAATTTGCGAAGAGTTTTTAAAATGCTGTCTTCAAATCTTTGTTATCAATTTACTGTCAAATAGAAATGAATTTTTTTCACGTTTACAGTACAAAGAGTAAATATAAGAAGCAAATGAAATAACTTATCTTAAGCGACAACAATGTTTAATTTATCTTTTTTAAATTCAATTTTTTTAATACGCTGCTTACAAAAAATTGTAGGTTTTGAAATTACTATATATAGCAGTACAAAATTGGGTGGATTTTGTCTTGCCTGTTTCATTCACTATATGTGAAAAATTCTTGATATAATCTAGATCCATAACATTTAGGAACTCACGTTTAGTTATATTAATATTGAGAAATTCATTGAAATATTTAAATGAGCTAATCTGATTTTAAAAAATATTTCACCCTTTTATTCACACACTTTTTTATATGCAGCATAGAACACAGAAAAAAAATATAAATATTTTGCAAGACATAAAAATTTTTAATCTTAAATAATAATAAACCTGATCCTGCAAATTTGAATAAAATGGCGGAAGAAAAAGTGTAAAAACAGCAATTTTAGTGGCGACACCTATCGATCCATGAAGTAAAGTTAAGTAAGGTACACAGTTAAGTAAGGTAGATCGCTTATTGGGAGAATACTGATTGTTTTTCTTGACATAATATAATTCGGAACATTAAGATTTAAAAACTTATTACATTTCAATACTGAATGACTGGCTTTATAATTCTTGCACTGCGCGCGAATCTGTGAATCTAGTGAGGTCGAGTTCTAGCATGAGATTTTAAGAATTCTAAAAGATCATTAAGGATTGGTGTTTCCTCTCACTTTAAAATTCATTCCAACCATCCTCTCAAAAAATCTAATTCAAACTGTACTACAGTCAAATACCGAAAATCTGCCGACCTGAAATCCGCGTTGCGGGAAACCACAACATTGAGTACGAAATATCGAAGAAAAAATACTTACTGAATAACTACGTCATAATTACCGAATAATAATGAGTCATAACGGAAATACCAAATTATTGACATCATGATAAATTTTTTTTTCCCTCTGATCTGCATCGATGTAGAAAAGTAGACAATTCACTCAACTCTTCTTTCAAGTTCACGATTCACATTGCTGTATTTTCTGAGCTTTGTTATTTCATGAGATTATTTAGTGCTGCCTTATTTTTTAATCCGTATATTTTGTGGATAAATTAGGAATATTTTTAATTTCAGTCCCTTTTTTAATACATTTACAGATAAGAAACACACTCATGATTTTACTGCTTGCAACGTTGAAAAACGTAAACACGTTGCATTGAAGGTAATGCAAAAAGTGCAAATTCTGCAAAAGATGGAGACAGGTGCTACTCCTCGGTTTATAGCAGAATCATATGGAATTGCGATATGATTGTGTATGATATACGGAAAAATAAAGAAAAGCTGTTGAAATTTTTCAGTAACAGTGATTCTAACACCGGAATCCGAAATCTTTGCATGAGACGAAATCGGCAAACCTCGATGCTGTGTATATATAATACAATGAATAATATAATCAATTTATATATGTAATAATAATTTAATGCATATAATAAGTTATTGCAATAATGTATATAATAATTAAATGTATCTAATATGCCTTATTTATTTTGCACTTTTAGTCTGAATATTATCATTTATCTTTTCTGTCCTGAAATCTGCAAAATCCTAAAATGCGCACAACCTCTGGTCCCAAGCTTTGCGGATGTCTGGACTTCTACTGTATTAAAATCAAAATAGTATTGGCAAATCGTTCTACTTTAAAACTCAAAGTCTCAAATGAACATACGAATTTTCTCATGGAATGTAAATGATTAACTGGGGTTTTCAGTTTGTAAATTTGTTAAACTTAAGATTTTCTTTGATAATGATGAAAGTAATTCTCTCTTATGAAAATCTTTAAAGTCAATTAAGCCAGGTTAAAGCTTGAACAATACTTAATGCATTTCTCTTTAAAGAACACTTTAAATGTTGCATTTTTGTACACCTGGTAATTTGTAATTTTAAATAAATCACTAAATGATAACCATTCTTCAGCACTACCACTAAATATTGGAAGAGTTAGCATAGGTAAGCAAATGTTTGATATTTAATAAGACACTGACATCTTTAACATCCTTAACTCTGGTTAGCATCAAAAATAAAAATGCATCAGTAATATCTTGTATATCTTGTTCTTCAATAAACTCGTCAATATTTTTCTCTTCACAAACTACAAAAATGTTACCAGAAATATCCAAAATTTCAGTTATTAAATTACTTAATTTAGATCTAAAAGTTTTAACAAAACATAATCAGCAGAATCATAACTCACAGTAATTTTCTTTTCTAGTTTAGTTACCTTAGCTACATGCTTCTTCGTCTGAAGCTTTGTAAATTCCTCTAGCTAATCATAAAGATATAGAAGTGTGCTAACTCACCTGTTGCAATGCAGTTCCATACTCGAAGGACCACAAAATTCTGTATGTTCCATCATTATTTAAGGGACTGTATTCTGTTGGCTTGCTGTCATGCACTTTCAGCAGAACTAGAAGAAATCACAGATATGCAATCTAAACTGAACCTTGTTTAATTTCTTCTGAAAACATAATTTAGGCTGAGGAACACAGACTCGACAAACTTGAATTTTGCCCTATTGCGTCGTTGGAAACTAGTAACTATTAACTGAAGCTCCAAGCGCACACTTAAAATTTTAACTAAATGTGCCTTTGCACTCAGTGACTAAAAATACAATTTGCATAACATCAATGTACAACAATATTTTATTCTTATGAAATTGTTTTCACAATGAGGTATTGTTTATTATGCCCTGAATATTTCCTTTATAACATGCATCCAGATGCTCAAAAAAACTTTTGCCTGAAGTTGTACTAACCTTTTCTCTGCTAATGTAAATATGTATTTATTTGTCTTTCCTTCTTAGGTATATAAACATTTGCAAGATGCCATAATGAACACACCTGGTACTATGGAAAGGCCTTATTGGTGGAGAGAATTTCTTGAGAAACCTGAAATCAAGTCTCCAAAAGCTAAACTATAATATGTTACAGTAATAATGCAAAATTTTAATTAGATATAAAAATTTTTAAACTTTGGTTATATTTTTAGAAAAGGCAGCTAGGTATATGTTTTTCTACATTTTTATGTCATTTAGAAAATAATCTCGTTAACTTTTTCAAGTAGTTGCTGAACTTGCCTAATAGCTCATAATTTTAAAAAGAATTAGATAGATAATGTAATATTTTTGTAAAATAAATTTTAAATTCAATAAAACTTCAGAAGAAGGAATGTTATATTCCATTTCTTTTGAAATATTTAACATTAAATTATTTTAACAATATAAAGAAGAAGATGACTAACATCATATGTTAAGTGCCTGATATGATCTTGGTTAAAGCTAGAAATAACCATAAGACTGATGAAATAATGACATATAAAAGTGCTGCCTTATTTGAAGCATATATAAGAAATGACAATATAAAGATGAAGACATCTATATAATACATTCCAGAATTGTACTGAGCTAAAATTAGTAATTTATATGTTAAATATATTTCTTCTAAATGGTTAAATGAATCCAAAATAATAATCATTTATTCTGAAAGTTATGATCGTAGACTATGTTGAATTTTTTATGTTTACTTTTTTTATTGTTTCATCTTCCATTAAGTATACAAGCGACTTTCATTTGCATCTCGAGCATATTGTAAAAATGTAGAAATTTATTTTTTGCAGTTTTATCTTATATGCCTGAAAAAATTAAAATATGCATCTACTTTATCTTGTGGAAAGTAAAAACCTTTTCTTCCCAGTTTTTCATTGTCTGTTCTGAAATGAAAAAATTAAATATATTTCCATATACTATTAAAATTTTATTCTTACCTTTTACAGTTAGCAAGTATGTTCCTGACAGTACCTCTCTCACTTTCCATTTTCAGAATAATCACTTAATTTGTGTACATGTATGTGCATACGTTTTAACATTCACTTATATTTTATAACTTTTGAATAAGTTAGTAATGTTATCAAATATTTTTTTATGTATAAATGGAAATAGTTTAAAAAGTAACATATTTGTTATATGCCATATTGTAAAATGTTTTATATATTATGTAAATAATAGCATATTAAAATTATTGAATAAATTATGTTTTGTTACATCAAAGCTCTGTAGTCTGATATATTTTAAAAACTGTGGCATGTTTCTTAGAAAAGTCCATTAATTTTTTCTTCATTTAGTCTTTACAGATTGTTGCTATGCTGAACTAAAATTTGTCTACAATATAAAATTATTTCTAAAGATTTTTATTTATTATTAATCCTCTGAAAATTTATCCTTGTTGAAAACAAAACATGTAAGGGAATAATGTGATATGCTTGCTAAATAATTTGTGTTATGTGTGTTGAATTAAACTGCAAATAATAAAGGCCGTAATAATATAATTCCTATGGAATTAAACTAAAGAAATAAGTTTCCAAGCTTGAATTTGCAATTTCTTCTAAAAAAATATACATTGAAGAGCCAAAACACTATGACCACCTACTAAGTAATTTGTTGTATGACCTTTGGCCTGCAAAACAGCTGCAACTCGCTGTGGCATTGATGTCACAAGTACTTTGTAGATGATTGGAGGCAGGTTGTACCTAATGTCTGAGCAGTGGTCACGCAAAGTCGAGATATTCAGACATGGTGCTGTTTGAACTCTGAGCTGCCGCTCCATGACATCTCAAACGTTCTCCATCGGGGTAAGATTCGGTGAGTTCGGTGGCCAAGACATTCATCCTTATGCTCCTCGAACCACTCCAACACAATTTCAAATTTCAGCCTTGTGACATGGGGCAATGTCCTGCTGGAAAAAAGACATGCCATGTAACATCAAACAACTGCAACTCGCAAAACAGCTGCAATCGATGCAGTGAACAACTGATCTGCAATAGTCCACAGCTTTTGTGGTCTGTGCTACCATAACTTAGCCACCCATGAGAACATCTCGCAAAGCACAATACCGACACCACCAGCCTGTATATGACCTGCTGTGCAGGAAGGAGAAGGAACTGTTTGCCTGGAAGATGGTGTACCCTGAGATGACCACTTACATCATGAATGAGAAATTATTATCCATCCAACCAGCCAACTATCTTCCAAGATCTTATTATTAAAATCTCATTCAGAAAGCTTACTTTTAATTAATGGATAGAGCCCTACTTCAATGAAAATAAGAGTACAAACACTTCTGGGAGTCACTGTAATCAACAGAGGCACATGAGTGGGACGTCTGCTGTACAGTCCCATATTCAGTGGTATCCGCTGAACCGTGTGGTACTTGGACCTGCATTGTATTGCAGCCGAACCACCGTCTGGTGCCGATTTTGCTGTACCAAGTGGAACTGTCTTCATCCTTTTACTTTGATGATGCGAGGACGTCCAACACCGTTGGTGTCTACTGCTGGTTTCACAGTCATTTATCTGCTTTGCATAAATACTAATGACAGCAGATCATGAACAAACCACCAATCGCACAGTTTCAAAGATATTTGTTCCCAGTCTTCAAGCTATTACAATCTGCCCTCCATCAAATTCGTTTCAATCAGCAACTTTTACCATCGCTCTCAAAAGTAAGTGCAAGGATGATTCCTTACCTTCTCCAGCAGCAGTTAAATATCATTCCCACTTAATCACATATCCTCCATGTCATAATGGATGAGTGCATTGAAAAATGTGGGGATGGTCGTAATGTTCTGGCTTGTCAGTATATTTATACATTATTTACTGACTATTTTTCCCCGTTTTAAAACTGGATGGTAGAAATATATGGGGTATACTATTTCTGAAAAAATGGCTTAAGCAATAAACACAGTTCATTAAAAAGCATGCATTAAGATAGGCTAATGTTATAATATATATTTCAAAGGACTTACCTTTTCAGTAATATTCTCTTTATGTACACAAAATACTTTCCTATTTCTGCGTTCATTTCAAGTTGTTACCATAAATCGGACATTTCTAAATTGTATGCTGAAAAAACTAGGAGAAAAGATTACAAGGCCTAGAAATATGTGAGTAAATATGGTATTCCCATCTATACATATATTATACTCCCTCTGTCCCAAATTAGTTGCTACATTTGAATACTTTTGTACTGATTATTGATATTGAAGGTTTTATGATTTAGTTTGAACATTCTTCAGAAATTTCAGAGTGCTGCGTTATCAATCAACAACATTTACTTACCAAGCATTCCCTCCTTAAATCAATACCATATTAGTTTATAAACTTCAGGGTTCGCACACACTTAAGCTACGCCCCATTTCGTAAGGACTCTTCCATTAGTAATCGCATAAAACTACCTTGTAGCTAATGAATGGTGAATTCAGTGATCTGTCTCGTGTATACGAGCCAGTTCCTTTAGAAAGTCCTCCACGAAGGCATCCCTTCCCTTATGCAGACAGCCCTCGAGGTTTTGCCTTAATCACATAAACATGATCTTTCTGATATACAGTACAAAGTGTTTAATCTGTACTCATCGTGACTTCGGCGATTCCGGATTAAAGTTTTTTACGGGTTATAGATCATCAATTTAAATCTGGTAAGATAGCATGCAGAAATTATAAAGTTAAAAATATTAACTTGTCAATCAAAATTTTTTCGTTTTCACTAACCTCTCTGTCACTTTCTTCATGCCTTTATCCATTTTTTGCAGCAATTCTGCTTTTTGTTTGACGGACATCGAAACATGCTTTCGCTTTGTAGATCCTTTATCAGCTCCAGAATCGGAAACTCTTTTTGACATAATCGAAAGTTCAAGCTTACTTTTCATAAAATTGCTCTAACAGTCTGCAAAAAATAATAAGCCGGATCCAATTAGAAGATTAAGGAACAACGCAATCTGCAACATTAACTGAAATAGATAATTAGATCATTTTAGCGTAGCCTATACCGTCCGTTATACATTAAATGCGCATGCGTAAACGTATTATGCGCATGCGTTAATGCATTATGCATTTATGCATGCACAGAAAGTTTGTAGCTTTGAGGTCCAGATTAAAGACTTTATACTGTACTGGCACTTACAAAATGGGACGTGGCTTAACAGCGTGCTAACCCTGTAAATTTGCTTTGAAAAAATTGTCCCCAAAATAAGTGCTACGTTTGTAGAAAGTAAAAACTGAGAATGAAATCCTAGTACACAGCATTTTATTCATTGTAGTAAATTGCATAGTTTTACTGCTGTCGATTAGTAAACTGCATTCAAAGTTATTTATGACTCCACCTACTTGAAATGTAGCAACTAATTTGGAACAGAATTTTCGACCTAAATGTAACAACTAATTTGGAACAGAGGTAGTAAAAAAGAAAGAAAAAAGTAGTAACTGTCACATTATCCGCCTGACCCTCCCACAAAGTTGCCAATCACTGACGACTAATTTTTCACCAACTTAGCATGTGGAAAACAGTCGCCATTTAAAAAAATGGCAGCATACTGAAAATTACTTAAAACAGCAACAAGTTAACAAAATTAAAAACTCAAGAAACATCAGTAATGAACCTGTAAAAACTGCATAAAACAAACATAAAAAAACACCCAAATTTACATGTAACAGCAGCAAATTAACTTAAATAAGAATGTAACAAACATCCACAATAAAACACTTAACCTTCCCACTCTTCTGCCCATGTGTACAGAGAGTTATCTTAAAAAAAAAAAAAAGGTCAGAGAATTTCAGAATTCTCAGCATTGCAGGCAAACTGGCATTGCTCTCCACATACAGATCAACCTGTTTGACAACTTGTTGCTGTTAAAAAATATGCATTAATACCACCACTGAGATAGATGGTGGCATTACATGTAGTGTAATGCACATGCAACTATTAGTGATCTGACATTTTTTATAAATTCCAAGTTGCCTACTATGTCTACATCATTCTTTGCTGGGTGATTCTTGGTCTTGTAATCCTTGAGTTAGGTGGATAATGAAATAGTACCAAAAAAGCTTCTAATAATCGATAAGTAATTTTTAAAAAAATTATAAAATACGAAGCTTCTGCTCAGCATTT